ATGATGTTGTCAGTGTAAATACAGTGGACACTGAGACGCTTATCACCCACCCACCCATGCCTCTGTTTGATGTTAGTCCTTCACTTACTACTGTCTCAGACAGTGACACATTAGTCGAGTCTGAAACAGAGACAGACACACACATAAGTGTTGTCGAAAGGAGTCAAATGAGCCTACCTCATGTTGCTGATGTGTCTGACAAGTTTTCCCCAACAAGTGTGTTTGCTTCGACAAATCCTCATGCTGCAGTAAGAGAAGAACTCCCTCAAAGATTTCACTTATGGAAGCTGTAAGTTTTGTTTCTGCCATTTTTGTATGCATGGGTTTGAAAAAGGCCTCAGGTAGTGATCATACATGTACTTTAAATGCTCCCTACTCGTAGACAAGTAGCAACAAATCAGGCATATATCAATATCTTATGAAGAAGTGGGTGTTTAGTTCTGAACGCTAAGGTGATGAGCACTTAAATTTTGGGCCCTAATTATCTACCATCTTTGAATTGTATGTAAGGATTCATGATCAACACTACCTATATATGTAATATTATGTGTGTTGAATCCTGCACAGAGATGAAGACATCAAAACTCCAGACAGTTTCATAACAAGGCGCTTTACAAATCCGAAGTCTGGAATCATTTCGTCATTTCTTGACGACTGTTTGAGCGTTGATAGCGAAGACAAAACAATGAAAGTGAGTTTACAAATCCTAATTCGACCTACAAATGTACTTACATGTGGCCTGTGTGTGGAGCCTGCGTGCGCAGCCGCGGAAACAAGCAGAGAATGGAGGGTAGAAGTTTGTCTTCTAACAGCTTTGGAGCCTTCCATTTTGTCGTAGAGATGACTGGGTAATCATCTGAGTAAAGATTCTCGAATAGCAAATTACAGGAATTATGAGTTGCATGTACCTGGCCTAGGAAGGACGCTGAATTAAAATCAGTTTTTTTCTACGAGTGATGAACTACAGGTGCATTTATGTTCAGCTTTGTGAGAAATCCGGTGATTGATTGTCCTTTTTGAAAATCCTTTCAGGAACCGAACGGTACTTCTACCAGTGCTGGGGGTGCTATGAGACTCAGTGGAAAGGAAGCTGCCCCAGGCCCAGTGGAAGCCTTAAAACAAATGCTTTTTACCATGCAGGACATGGCGCATCACGAAACACTCGATAATGAAGATTCAAGCTATTATAAGGTAACCTTATAAAGAGATGTGGGTAATGGTACTAGTGCAAGGGTTTTGTGCACTGCAGTTTAAGATTTTAAGTTACTAGATGTTGCTGACAAGTAACTGGTGTTGTTCGTTATCGACATGAGAGTCGATCTATGCACAGGCGGTCTAAGCTCCAGCTGTGAGATGATCATCTTGCGAAATAAGAGTCATGGCGAAATTATAAGAGTTTGTATGGGAATATTTACGACCGCTCTTAAGAATAAAAAAAATAAGTCAAATCCTCAATGAAATTACCTCATCTTACTTTCATAGTGCATCGCTTGTTATCTGACCGCTTACTATGTTAAAAAGAACCCATTTTAGCGAGATATCCATTTCTAGGTTTACTACATAAGAGAAGCCAAAGTCTGCACACGCCCGATCCGAGAAGCGAAAAATCCAAGCTCAAAATGACCGGGCAGCCACAATCCAACGCAGAATCCAAGCAAATATACTGTAGTTTCATTTCAATTCACTACAAACTCAATCTTCCTGGTGAAAAACGACGCTAAGTTTGTTTCAGTTTGCTTCAAAAGTTTCCAGTTTAGACGTTTTTAACGGCTCGCGTACACACGACCGTTGAAACCAGCTTGGTAACCCTGCCTCCTTTGCAAACTGTGCCTCGCCGGGGACCACGCCGTCACGGGTGCTAAGTGATATGATTCAAGTAACGCCAAATCGACGATTTCCGCAGATTGAGAGAGTTAGCACTAAATTACCAAATACGAAACAAAAGGAGCTGAAACAAAGAAACTTGACGGAATATAAATGGAGAGGTTGCAAACATTTGCTCTATGTTCTCTTGTAGCGTTCGTTCGCTACTGTTTTTGGTTTAAGGCTTTTAACTGTTCTAGTAGGCTCAAGACTGATGTTCACTTTTTTTCATAGAGCCCCTCCAGTATGGATTTCAAGTCCAAAGTTATGAAAGATTCTCTATCTTCAGGTAATGTTGATCCCGTTCAATAAAGACTCAGTTATGATCTCATTAGAGAGTATTCAAACGATTGTTTCATGAAGGTGAACACTTAAGCCTAAACGTGCACGTATAGAGTGCTTGTGGAGGCACAAGGATCGTGGTGAAATTATCCAAAGTTTATGTGCGTTGCAAAGAACTCTGTCTTTCGACTTGACCTTTATCTTGACAATTTCTGGTGGGTTGCTATTTTTACAGATGACCAAAGTGAAAGAGATGCTGACATAATGCGCGGGGAGGTATCTTTACAAAGGTATGTTAAAAAAGTCTCTCATTCACTCATCTCGTTCATTCAGCTTCCTCATAACTTGCAAGTCTCTTCATTTGCGCTGAAAAGCTTTTTTGGATGGCTAATATGTGCTCCCAGTTAAAGGAAGTTTTCGCGAAACGTTGATTTCGCGAACTTCGTGATTAAAAAGAAAGTCGCACACTTTAATCAGTTGACGTGAATTGTCTTGTAAACACCTTTACGGAAACATTAAGCGATTCAACTGTAAAGGAATGGGTCAATTACCGTCTATTGATCCATAATAAAACCATTCATAAACATCATCAGTAAATGTCTCCAAAGGACTTTTTTCCTTGAGAGCCCATAGTAAGGAATTTTTCAATTTAAATGCATACCTTCGTCATATGTCGTAAGACCACTAGTTCACGTGTGAGCATAAACTACTTGCAGTTTATGTGAAACTGCTTTGTTGTTGCGGTCGACGTATTCTCTTGCAGCTGCGTTTTTGTCTTTGATATCGATTGTCTATCGATATCAAATTCGAATGTGCCACATGTGGAAAAATCTCCGGATGTGTGTTTGTACAAGGAGCCTAATGCTTACAATGATGCAAGACAAAATATGTAGAAAACGAAAATGAATTACAGCATTGAGTAAGAAATTTTAGTGAAGTGCCGTGTAACTGACTATCCACCTTAAAACATTGGAATTGTCATGCGAATCAAAGTTTTTTCTTAATGTGCTACTTGGCGTTGGTAAGAAAACGTTAGTTTTGTTCAGTTTTTTATCACTGTCCAACCTCCACAGGGCCTATCATCATCTGGAAAGACTCAAGAGGCTTGTGGGAAAGGAAGATGATCGTTCGTCAATTAGCTCCGCTAATTAGATGGCAGGCATCTTGGAATTTCAATGCTTTTATTGAAGATCATTCAACTATATCACCCATTAGACATTTTTAATCACCATTCTTTGTTTTCGTTTTGACATTTCTGTAAGTTTATTACAACTGTCATAGTGTCAAGCTCTGTTCGACATTCATTTGCTCTAAAAGAATCGAATGAACTTGCGAGTTGTTATGTCTAAGTATTTATAGCTTGATTTTGAATGAAAATTTCATGCTTTTTATCGCACTATTGTGCACTATTTTATTGGTTTGCGCTTTGTTATTTTTTTTCAAATACAAAACTTGTTTTGAACGCATGTGAGCCACCTTGAACTAAATTAAATCCAATTTACCTAAAATGTCATAGATAACGTGTGAACGTGGCAATTTTCATCAACTGGAAAGTTGAAAGCTACATAATCTACGCATGCGCACAAAAATTACAGCTCTTTTTTTTTTCCTCACCACCCGTTTTTGGGGAAGGTGTAGAGTGACACTCCGCAAAGATGAAAAGATAATGTAAGATCGATAGTCAAACTGTGGAAATCCTTAAAAAAGATCAAACTCTTGTATAGTGGTTTTTCAAAACTCCATTGAGAAGTCAGGTTTGTTGAAGAAGATTAGATGAACCCACTACACACTTTGTTTTGACAGGCTGGAAGAACTGAGGTTTCAGTCAATGCTCGGGTTCTCTTCTGTAAACCTTAATTTGCAGTGAAGGGTCGGGTTCCTTGGGGACATTTTAGACCTGACGTCCACCTTATCATAATCATTAACTGATATCTCTTAATTACGCTACGGGAATCAGATCAGGGAACAGATCTTGTCAACACAACACCAAAATCAACACGGACTTATTAAATGATATTTTGATTAAAAAAAAGATTTTAAGAAAGTGATTTTACTGAAATATTTTTCATAGGCTTTATAGAAGTTATAGGGTTAAATATATATAGGGATATTTATATATTAGCTTATACTTATTGCAAATTTATTATACGACTTGGTGAATTAATATAATTGTTTCAAAACAATGAAGTGTGTTCTCTTTTGACAATGTTCTATGAATACTTAGTAGAAACCTTTTAACCTTCAAATGAACATTATTCTGTGGAGCTGAGTAGGATGAGAGATTGGTGTCATTTTTTGTTACACGTCACACTGTAACGAGGCCGGTAAGTGTTATACTCGTATGAAGTACACGTTTGCCCTGGTACGTGCCATTTCACTCACCAATTTATCGCTCCACACGCCTACTTTCATACCCTGCATAAGGTAAGAAAAGGGACAATTTTGAACCAAGCGTATTTAATAGACCACTACTTGCACTCCCACTGCCCTTTCATGAGCTTAGCGTAGCTTCTTCCACATTTTAACCGAAAACGAGGCTTTGAACAGTCACTCAAGCATTAACTCTCAAAGTTCCTCTAAGACACTATATAATGGTCTTACAACGAATTATGGCGAAACGCATATGACGATCTCAAGAAAAGATTTTGGACTGGAAACTCATCCTCTTGTTTCCACGTTAGGAACACACCGCACATACCTTTTTATGGTTGAACTTAATAAAGAAATAAATTTTCTTCTCGAGTGCAAGTATGATAACTTTGTTATCAATTGGATAAAATAGGTACAGGCCAAACCAAAAGTAAGAAAAAAGGAGATGAACAGTACAAACTGGGCAAAACTGACTAACATTTAGATTCACCTGGGTTTCAAACTTTTATTTGTTGACAGTCCATTGGTCTCTAACTTCTGTTACTTGAACATTATTTCTTAACTTAAAAATACACTCTGTTCATAGCTTACTTAGAATTGCAATAATCAAAATCAATATGTAGTAAAGTGTAATTTATACAGTCGGCATGATACTAGACACAGTCATAAGGTCGTCCAATGTTGACTTATCTTGACAAAAGTCACTCAGTTAATCTGGTAACTTTTCAAATCATTAATTATCTCTCTTGCAACCCCAGACCCCTGGTGGGCACTCGGCTTTAGCAGCTAATTCATCTTTTTTCTCATCATCTTCCTTTTCCTTTTTCTCAGGGACCTCGTTTCGTTTGCAGCCCCAGACCCCTGGTGGACAATCTTCTTCAATCTGATCTTTCTTACAGCCCCAGACCCCTGGTGGACAATCTTCTTCGATCTGATCTTTCTTACAGCCCCAGACCCCAGGAGGACAATCATTTTCGACCGAGTCTTTCTTACAACCCCAGACCCCTGGTGGGCATCCTTCTTCGCCTAACTCTTCCTTTTTTATTTCTCTTTTGCATCCCCACACTCCGGGGGGACAATCTTCATCATTATTGCTTTTTACTGACCGCGTAGATCTTCCTTTTGACTTAAACCAATTTTTGACAGAGGCAAATAGACCTCGTTTGCAGCCCCAGACTCCAGGTGGGCAGTCTTCGTCGTTGCTTCTCTTCATTTCGAAGTTCCGCTTACAGCCCCACACACCGGGGGGACAGTCTTCATCCAGTTCCTCGATGACGTTCTTCTTGCATCCCCAAACTCCTGGAGGACAATCGTCTTCGGTTCTCTTGTTCTCTGTTTCCGAGCGCTTACATCCCCAGACTCCTGGAGGGCAGTCACCCTCCCACACCCTTTTTCTTCTCAGTGGATTACTGGTTGCTTCGTGCGAAAGGGCAACGATCGTGATCACGGCAAATATGGTCCAACTCATTTTTCTAAAAAAGAAACGCACCACGTAACTTAGAAAAGTTGCACAAGACACTCGCCTATAGTGTCTGAGAAACACAGAAATAAATGATTCGCCGCGTGAATACTCATTTTAGCTATTGTTTAAAAGGAATTTTGTTCAGTCATTTAGTAAAACCCTCCCATTAAAGGTCCATCCGTAGGGTAAGCGTCTACTTTTATCCCACATGCCAAATTTTTCTAAGTCAAGTCAGACCCCTTCTGAGACTTGTTGATTGAAACTATCACCTTTTCAAATATCCTGTAAGCGACTTCTTCTCCTCACTCTTGGGTGTCAAGTGGGTGAGAAGATTACTTTCATTCCGATCCTGCTTTAAAAAGCAGCTTCTGTGCATGAATGACAAAAGTTCAGATCTTTAACGGTCTTTCTTTTTGTAAGCAACCACATGCATGCCTAAATGTGGCACCAAGGGTGGTCGCCTATGAAACTGAACTTCAACTGTATTTCAGTAAAAAGCATTCGGGGTGTCAGTTCGCAAATGGTTGTAGACAGCTCTGAAAACTCGAACACGTTGTAAAATTTATAAGTCCAACAGACATGAGAAAAAGCAAAACAAAACCGAGTATTAGAAAAATAACATCCGTAATGAACAGTCGCACCAACTAATGAATGAAAGAAGTGAAGAGGTGAAGAGAGTGAAAGAAGTGGATATAAACTTTTTTTTTTCAAGTACAGAAATGATTGCTAACTGACGAGGCAGGTGTAGGTGGAGTGAACTTGCGGTTTTTAACCGAGATACACAATTCTTTTGACATTTTGCCGACACAAATTTCTCCGAATAGAGGTGAATATGTGATACATCCTGGAAAAGGAGGAACTTTTTAAGTCTGCAAAACCTACAGCCTCTCAAGGAACATTAAAAAGAGGTTGCATTACGGAGAGTGTTCATTATTTGAGAGAAATCACTGAAGAAAAACCACAAGATGACTTTTTGTCACATGGCCACGGAAGAGAAAGTGACTGATATCACTTATGACAAAAAAGTAAGCTAAAAGCTTTTGCACAATGGATGTGATACATTGAAACACATTGGATGCTAAGAAAAATTATTTTTAAAGGCTTAAAAGCCATCCCAATGTTAAAAAAAATAATATAGGAAATTGTGTTGAAAAAATTGAACTGAGAATTAGTAGTTTTCATAAAACTTATAATGGCCGCCACTTTTCATGGACAAAAGTCAATTCGCGTGTCTATTGTTAATGTGAAGATATTTCTCTTTGTTTTGACCTCCTCACTTAAGCCGATACAAAAAAATGAAAGGATGCATAAACAAAGCCATTGGAGTAATAAAATAATACCAAACACAGATGTCAAAACACTCACATCTACAGAAAAACCAAACCTCTCTTCATGGATCTGGATGAAAAGATTATTTTCTCAGGATAAAACAAGAAAAAAAAAAGAGAGAGACGATGTGCCTTAATTCTCATAGAAACTGTCCATAGACCATGACAAACAACATTGACAAATTAAGGTTTCCTAACCGATAGTAATATATCTGTGGTGTTACTATCCTCAACTTACTTCTCAAATGTCTTTGACAGAAAATCGTCTCCTTTGTTGAGAGGTTCTTACTAAAGCGAGTCGTGGAGTTCGTCCGTCGAAAGCGTCCTATTTGGCGAAATGTTTGTCAACGATTTATATCCTTATGTAAGAATTTGATGAATTCCCCCGTTGCGCGTCATACACATTTAGCCTGAGTCTGTAAAACAAAAGATTTTAACGAAGTTTTAATTTTGTCGGTGTTTTTCAGAGTCATGATTGGTTTACTGCAGTGGGCGGCGGTTTAGAGCTAATTGAAAAAGACAAAAACAATTACAAGCTACTAAAATCCGAATACATGCCAATTAGCAGGCTAATTCCATGGCAAAGAAACTATCATGAGATTTTTATCGACATCTTAGGGTAACCCGCTGATAAGGCAAGTGGAAGATGCTTCTTTATCAAACTCAGAAACATATTTTACGAGTTCCCTTTTGAATTCCGTGCCTACTCACTTTGCCTCAATATAATCACAGAAGATTAAATTTCGACATCTTAATTGCGTTCTCACAAAGACCCTTCTTCATGAAATATGATGACCGCAGGTAGTGCAGAAATTCACTGATGACAATTCGAACTAACCAAGAACACTTCGAAAATTTTTCATCTATTTTCATACGATTTACACCTGTTAGTTTTACACAAGCTTCTTTTGCCTCTCGTTTTCAAAATTTTCTTCTTTCCTTAGGAAACAGGTGTTTTTCACCTATGTGTTTAGATCAATTTTCCTCACAATAGTTTTCATGGCTGAGGCAAACTATATTTGTTGGTTTTTGCGGTTAAGATTAAGATACTGACGTATATCATAGCTGCGATTAGATTTAAAAGCTTTAAGACCTTTGGTGACTTTCTCTGACAGCAAAACCAATATTCTGTCAAAACTGAATACTTTTACTAAGGTTGAATAAAACGTGTTTGCCTTGTCGGTTTGACTGAAGATGCCTGCGTTGACGAGTTACCAAATTAAGGAAAGTCTGTTTCCCAATAATTCATCTCGTGCAAACCGGATGCGTTTTTACATAAAACCCGCATTCCAAGGATGAATCAGCAGCTGAAACTTTCCGATTTCTAAAATTAGTAGGATTTTTCCCAAATTTATTGTGCTGTATATCGTTTGTTTTGGAACCTTTCATATCGCCTTAATCCAGAACCACAAAATGACATAAATGCGTTGTTGGTAGGATTTTGAAGGAACATGGTACAGAGGCCGCAAGCAAAAAAAAATCTCTTGTTCGGGAGATTGTAGAAAATATTACATCTTAAACATGACATACACCAACCAGTTCAAACAAAAAAGAAGATTCGACACCTGAACTAAACCTGAATTACTTTGAACGGGATGACCAATCTAAATTTATGATAAGAGATTTGAACGCCGCTTTTTAATCGTGCGATCAAATTTACATACAAAAAGTCGTTACTTTCATTAAACCAACCTTTCAGTATCAAGACTTCTTCTCGCGTAATCAATGAAGTTAAAAGATGGTGTATGAGCGCGAGAAATGGCGTTGAATGAATGAGACACGGACAGGTTTCGAGACCTTAAGGTGTGAATAGGAATAGTTGGTGAACATAAACAGCTTACAGCTGTTAAGAAAAGCACTAAGAATGCAACCCTCTCCACAGGAAACGGATAAGTAACAACTGTACTGAAAACTTAAGGCATCTTTAAACTCCACAAAATGCTTTGAAAACCTACACATATATCGCTCGTAAGTATCCAACTCAACTGAAAGTATCACGACTACTGCTGAGTAACTACGACAAGCTTTTTGGTTGAAATGGCTTGACGTGACAGGCAACCAAACAGAAAGAAATTTCGCTCTTTTTTTTAAAAGTATAATAAGCGGAATACCCAATTACAATTACCGTGAGTCCTATTCTGGAAAAATAAAGTCGCTTATCTCCTTTCCAAATTTTAATATCTATATTAAAAAATACTATCTTCAAAATTTTTCACTTGTTCACCCTACGTTGCTGGACAAAGCCCTAAATCTTAAGTAAATTCTCATGCCCCTTCTCTTATCTAACACAGATACAACAATTACAGAAAATTCTAGAGTAGGTTTGTTTTTTTATCTTTGGTGCTTTATTATTTTGCCTTCCAAACTTGAAAGCTACGAGAAGAAAGTAAGATCTGCATCTCTCGGGAAAAGGTCCGGCACTGAATGACCAGGAAGTGTAACAGTGCCTTTGTACCGAAAAAAAAGGAACAACAAACACCAATGTGTCCCTATAATGTGTCATTTTAGTGCAGAAGCCTGCTAAAAAAAACTCTTACACTAAAATTATGATTTTAATCTTCATTTCTACATACAACGGAATCAAAAAGTATTTTTTTTTAAGTTTGTTAGGAGTACTTCCATTCTCGAATGCCAAGAGAAAAGGAAACAAAACCGCTCGAAGTATTAGTGGGATGATTTGCTTAATTTCAAATCGGTGATTTTGATCCAAATGATGTTTCATTTGTTCTCGAAAAAAAAATACACAAGCGACTGATGTCGTTAAGCCGGCCTTACCTTATGTAATGCTGCAGAAGCCTTCCTGGGCGGACTTATTCCCGGATCGATGCTATTCATAGAGTGAGCAGAGCATACTAATCCAACTTAGTATTTATATACTTCATCATGTTACTTAAAGCGCGCGTGGTCGGTCACATCTCAGCCAACAAAGGTTCCATTTTAAGACAACTTATCATTAACAAGGTCTGTAGAAAATTAGCGTCAATAAAAATGGACACTACTTAGATCATGAGAAAACCCTTGTTCTATAATTTCAAAACCACAGTTTCTGTCGCGATAATATTGCTTTTTTAGGCTTGATATCCTATGCAAACAAAGTTTGTTAGGACAAGTTTCAAGGTATCATAATTTTTGAGCAAGGGGGAAGACCTTTTATCGTAAAATTTCTTTTTGAAAGGGGAAGACCTTTGATCGTAAAATTTATTTTCGAAAACATCCCCTAAATAAAGTGTGCGCTCTATGTCATATAACATTCCTAAGTTTTCATACGGCTTTTGTGTTTAGGCAAGACTGAATTTGGCCGATAAGCCAAAGACAACTGTAATCAAAACAGACATGTTTCATTATCGTTCATTTTTTTTCTCTGCCTTAACACAAAGTATTTGCAAGAAACGTGGTGTAAACAGTTATGACCCTCGTGGGTAGCTCAACTATCCGGCAAAATGAAAACATCAGAAAGAAAGCACCACACAAAAAAAAAGAAAAAAAAAGTGCACATTATTTCTCCTAAAAGAGGAAATTCAATGAAAAAACCCTTTTTTTTCTACGAGGAATGAAAACAATGGCCAATCACTTACGATCGCTTATCAGTCAGCCATGGAAACATCCTTCATCGTCGTGGGTGAAAAAATGTGAAGTAAACAAACTTTGATTCTGGTGTAAAATTACTATCTGGTGGACACTATTATTGCACAATCCTGAACCACAAAAAGGGGCACCGACATAGAGTGTGTGGGGCATTGATATTTGACTCAACCACACGAAATTTCTTCACTTGATTCGTAATTCAGTAAACTTTTCATTCAAGTTAAGAGAAGAGGAGCGAAATTCCTGGCAACACTAAAACAACAATAAAAAGCTCTGTACCATTAATTTCGTAAGGAATTTTACAAAAAGGTTATGGACCTCACCATCTTTGATTTTTTGGTTGTTTGTTTTGTTTTTTATATTTTTATTGGTATTTTCATACAGAAATCTGTTTGTTGTATCGCACATCCTTTTAGGATGAGATGATGTTAGGGCGTTTACTGATTCAAACGTCAATCGAAAGAAAGAAACGAAAAAAAAAAAAAAGAATTAAAAAACGGCTCAGTTAGTAAAGTGAAGCAGAAGGTTCGTCTACTTACAATTTGTACAATGGGGCAATGACCAATAAAATAAAAATGTTTAAGGTTACATCAATTTTATTGCTTTTGGTGATCACGAAATCGCACCGATATAATCGCCAACACAGCAGAACAATATGGTAAGTTGATTGATTTAAAAGCTGTTCTCTATCACTTGCTTTGCTCGGTTCCAAAACACTTCAACCCTCTTCAACAAATTGAACACAACTTTTTTGCTTGTCGATGAGCTGGAAATCAAACGCACTTAAATGTTTTTCTCGGAGGTATTGTATCTCGTAGATAATGACTAAAACACCGCACGCTTACCACGAGTGACATACGTGTAAGATACGGCTAAATACGAGTCACATCAGATACACACGGATACACACGACTAAAATTTTTCTTCCTTTTTTGTTCTTAAAATGCTTGAAGAGTCATTTTCGGAAACGCAGTCGCCATGTCTTGAATTTTACGCGCGAACGTACGCGCACGCAACTCATAGGGCCTTTTTTTTTCGGTTGTTGATTCTAACTCAAAGCCTGCCTTAACTTTTTTTTCTCGGGAGGAGGAGCGTGGGCTCATTTCCACCTAATAATCTGAAAATCGACCAAACCTCGGGAACTTTTCCTCGCTGTGCTTTGTTGCACATCATTTTCCTTTTTTTAAAAGATTATACGGCAAGCAAAAAGGGTAGCCCAGTAAATTATTAGTTTAGCTATCATAGTCATCTGGTTTCATTCTCACCATGCAAAACTTTTGAAAAGTTGACAGAAATAGAGAAATAGAGTACCTTTTAAAGTCTTGAGCTGTTGAGCCAAGCGAGTTGGCATTGTCAAGCGATCTGACGCTTAAGACCTCAAGATTATTCGCGAGCGAAAAAACGCTTGTACATGCACAGGCAGCCCAAGCCCCAGCTACGAGATGTTCATCTTGCGAAATAAGAGTCATTGCGAAATTGTAAGAGTTTGTATGGGAATAATTACGACCGCAGTCAAATTCTCAACAGAAGTGCTTCACCTTACTTCAGGCAGTGCATCGCTTGTTATCTGACCGTTTGCTATGTTGAAAAGAACCCATTTTAGCGAGTTATAAACTTCTAGGTTTTCTACGTACATAAAATAAGCTCAATGTTGCACATTGGCATCAATAAACTGTTTAAGAATCATGGATGCTACGTGACGGTGTGGTCCCCGGCGAGGCGCAGTTTGCAAAGGAGGCAGGGCTACAAGGCTGATTTTCAACGGTCGTTTTGTTGTGCGCGGGCCGTTAGAGAGACGTCTGAATTATAAATTTTTTGAAGCAAACTGTGGCTTAGCGTCGGTTTCACCGGGAAGATTGTGTTTGTAGTGAATGGAGATGAAATTAAAGTGTATGTGCTTGGATTGTGCGTTAGAGTTGTGGCTGCCCGGTCATTCTGAGCTTGGATTTTTTTGCTTCACGGATCTGGCGTTCGGAAATGGAGTCAAAAATAGAGTCAGAAATGAAGTGTGGAGCTTGACCTACCTGTGGTAAAGGGTTTTTTTTCCTTCTTCTTCTTCTTTTAAGTGACGTTCTCACATTTACAAGCATATGGTTAATTGTTGTTCTAAATAAATGCAAACGTGACCAGGAAACGTAACACGGTTAAGTTTTTGCAGTTATGTGGTATGTCAAGTTAGTTTTCACATGCAGTGCGACTTTTCTGATGCCGCCAGCTAGATACGTAGCTCTTTACATTTGGTTTATAACAAGAGATTTACAACGCGAAAACGCAGAAACCTTTCATGAGTAACGCTGCACTGTTATTCATACCATTCTGTGAAAACCAGACACTATCTTAAGTCATGAACGTCGTCGTCGTGAGAATGAATGCCTAGCGCTGGCGTGTCTTTGTACAAATAGTTCGCGCTTAACCAGTCCTTACGGTTCTGGTGAAACAAAGAGAGAAAAATGCGGCAAATTTTTTACCTCATGTATACTTGTATGTATTTGTATGTCACTCACTGAAGCAAACGCTAGAAAAGAAAAACTCGGAACGCTTTCAACGAGGAAAATTAGAGAAATTAATCAATCTTCCGCACAGAAGCACAACTGGATAAGGAGCATTTACGGGTGTATGTGAAAATGTGCCAAGTTTTTTGTGAATGTAGTATTTCAAAATAAAATCTGCTCTTCCTCTCTCCCCTTCGCGTACTCCTTTGTATTCACACACGGCGTGTGTGATTTGATAATTTAGCCAATCAAGTCCATGGACCTTGAAATTGGCATCGAAAACTGAATTTTTATTTGAATGTTTGAGATTTCTTAGTCAGAAATTTATCACTTTTCTGTTTTGGAATGAAGAACTTTCAAAGTCTTCATATTAGTCCTAACGTTGTTGTTCCTTTCATAAGTTTATTGCATGCATCTATAACAAAAGAGACTCTAGTCTATTTTTCGAAAATTTATATTTCTACAGGGTACAAAGGTATCCTGGGGTATCTTAGTGAATTAAGGGTTAACAAAGTCAAACTAAGAAAAAGTCTAGTAAGTCAAAGATAAAAATTACCCTCGACACGCTGCATGATATAGAGGCAAACTAAGTTTTGAAGGTTTCTATAAAAACGTAACTTACAGGAGAAATCTTCGCTTCAAACCACATATTCATCAGTTCGTGCGCGCGCTGTTACTCACAGCACTCGCAAATTCGATTAGATTTCCACTTTGACGTCATAATAAGGAGTCTTCAGTGACACATCTCATAAAGACCTAAAAATGGGATGAACGATTTAAAATGCTCAAACAAATTCGTCACATTTCGGAAGGAAACTTCTATGGCCTACACGTTACCAACAAGGCCCGAAAGCTCAGCTTGGATAAAGAGATACGAACCCTTGAGGCCTGTAAAGATGTCCAATCACATGTTTACCGAAAAGAAGAGAGGGAGTTACTAAGTACACTGAAAAGATTGCAGCATACAAAGCAAGATCACTTTGAAGATATTGGACATCACGAAAACCAAGGGCGCTCTGCTTTTCATCCCGAAAGGTGCCCAAGTTTTTATGAAAATCAACATGCAAGTGACGGGCAACGGCATTCACGAAAACCGACTGAATATCACGACAGAAAACTTCAGGTAAAAATCAAATCAGAAATCAGTGACAAGAAGACTTCAGTGAAAGTGTGTGCAGGCCCTTCTGATGCCTCTGTTATCATATCACTTTCACCGATGGCAAGTTCAACCAACACTCCAAAACAACTTACGACAATAGCCTTACCTTCCGTACCAAAACCGACCAAAAGAGATGGTGGCTCAGAAATTCACAGGACACAGGCGTTTATGTCCTGTGTTATTTGCAACTTGCCACGAAATGCTCAGGGGAGAGAATACAAACATACCTGCACATGCCATGAGGATTCTTCTAAACATCCTCACCACCATCACAACCGCAGAGAAGATTTACAGAAACACAGAAAGGATCACGAAGATTCGCACTGTTTTGGAGGAGGGCGAAGGAGAAGCTTAGAGGTTGAGGAAAATCCACCTCGCTACGAGTGGACACAAGGGTTCACAAACACCAACATCCATCAAAAGAACCAAGGAAGAAGTAGAGCTTCCAGCATCGAGGACGATAAAAAAAGCCACTCACCAAGAGGTGTTGACGCTTACACAGCGCATGCACCAGGTGTAGGCGCCCACAAATGGGACTTTGGCGCTGATCTGGGTATAGCTGCTGCAAATTATCACAAACGTGATAGGGGAAAACAAAGTGGATTCCTGGCATCAAGAAGTAGGAAGAATAGCCTTGAAGAGGGAAGAAGCCGTAGGAACAGTTGTTCAGATCGTCGAAGCAGAAGAAGCAGTTTTGGAGAACAAGACACAATAATATACAACAGATCAAAACAGGAAGAACTACGTGATCTCTATCACAGATTGGATAGAATGTTTCCAGTCCACGACAGACATGAGTACCATGATGAAGACAGTAATTGGTACCATAGGTACACACATTTACCTGAAAATCTTCCTCATACTACCCATTCACCTTTGTTTACGCCACACTCAGCCGCTGCTTCAAATGAGGGAGCTGCACACCAAAATCCCGCCTTCAATGGGCTGCTACATCCAGACAATATCGTTAACCATCATCACTTTCTACCTCATGAAGCTAACAAGCAAGAGAAGCCTGCAAGGTCTAGTCAGCATGCCCCCCATCACGTCCACGGATATCGTGTCCATGGGATTGATCGCAATGGCAATCGACAGGAAGTAAGTCGTCAGGTCATATCAGGCATGAAATTTGTTTGTTCTACCCTTACAATAACTGAATTAAACAGCTTTAACAAAATTAGATTTTTAACGGAAGAAGAAGTACTATCAGCTAACCTCTCGCAATACACTGAGATGGTTATAAAATTGAAAATTAAAGAACATTACGGAGGTTCGCTATAAATAGATTGGAGTCAAATAACACAAGACTACTTGTCCAGTTTTCAATTGAACTCGGTGATATAACGAGTGCACGGCCAAGCCTACCACTCAAAACCTGTGCCCTAATGGTAAGTTATTCCCTAGCGACCACTGTAAAGCTCACGACATAAAGTCATACTTTAACTGGCATTTCATTCTTCGCTATTTTTTGCAGTACTGCGTAACCCAGGGTGCAACTTCTCATATTGCTGCTGCCTTTGATCGCAACCATGATCAAGACAGTGGCATTCAATCAATGCTGATGAAATTAAAGCAGCTTCTCAATGTGTATCAACAAATGGACCATAAAGCTCCAAGATATCCCTGGCCTAGTCCTCCTGAAATCAAATTCACAAACGAAGAATTTAGAAAGCTGCGAAACTGCAGGTATTTGCGGCTAACGAAAAGTAATATTGAGAGTTTGAAGCTATTAGAGGATAAACTGAAGGAACGTAATGGGCAAAAAACTTCATAGACCTGTGGACTGAATCCTTTTGATCATATACGAAAGCGAAAAACTGGCTACAAGAGGTCAAAGATGTGTCATCGTCTAATGCCATAATGTTATACTCCAGTGTTAATTCATCACGTCAGTTTTACTTCAATGCTATTTTGACCAATAACTCTAAATAAAACCAGCCACTACCTTCAATTTAGGATGCAGAATAAATTTTCCTTCTTTACCTTTATTTATTTACGGTGGAGTTTAGCAACTAATTTAGTCCACACGGCTGGTTTTCTATATGCGTCTGTCTCCCGCAACGAAATAAGTGTATCTGAAAAAAAGAGCTTCATCAAGTATTAAAATGACAAATGAAAACTGACCAACTAGATTGATCGCACAAACTGTCCAGTCGGCTAATCGGTTTGTCGTTAGTTCGTTCGTTTGTTGGGTCGGTAGTTCGTTCGTTGATAATTTAGTGTTAACATATGAGTAGAAAACGTAAATTGGCCACCGTAAAGGGTAAAAAAGCTGACGTTTCGAGCGTTAGTCCTTCGTCAGAGCGATGGGTCGTTAGTTCGTGCGTTGGGTCGGTAGTTCGTTTGTTGGGTAGGTAATTCGTTCGTTAGGTCGGCAGTTCGTTTGTTGGGTAGATAGTTTGTTTGCTGGGTCGGTAGTTCGTTTGTTGGGTCGGTAGTTCGTTAGGTCGGTAGTTCGTTGGGTCGGTAGTTCGTTCGTTGGTTCGGCCGTTCGTTCGGTCGTTTTGTTGGCCATACAATCAATCAATCAGTCAGATGGTCGATCGCATCTAGCCAAATGTTTATCAATTTTATTGTTTTATGTTTCTGTTGCATTCCGGCATGCGGTCGTAAGGGGTATTTACCTTGTATAAGCATGTAGTGTACATTAGCGGTTTTCAGCCTAGGATCCCCTCTTAAGGATAACAGCCAGTCTATTACCTGAGGGGAAAAAATAATATATACACGAGAACAAATTAACAAGAAACAGCGGTTGCGTATGGCTTTAATGTGACTACAGTTATCGAAGTCCGTAAGAACACATAAATGACAAACTCGTCCCCACATCCCTCGTTTCTTTTGGTCACATGGTTGGAGAAATTAGGGACTGCCGTAGTGAAGATGTCAGAATTTTTCTCAGAAGCTGCTTGGCTTGATACATTCAAGGAAGGCGATTGTTAAACTCCATATGATCACATGTTTATCTTCTCCTTCCCCCCCTCCTCTCCCCGTACACAATCGCATACATTCGCAAAGGTAACAGGGCTGGTTTCAGGTGAGACCCTAATGTTCAATATTGTAGGCTTGTAAAATACACAAGGTAAAATTCGCTACTTTGTACCTCACTGAACGTCCGAATATTTAAAAATGGTTAGATGGTAGTAGATATTTATTGTTCAGGTGCAACGACTTCCAAACTCAAATGGCTCGGACTTCCTTCTTCGCCGTTGGGACACGACACAGATACACATACCTCCTGAATGGTTTTCCGAGTCTAGCGGCTCTACTCTAAAACCGTACATAGCTGTCCTCGTTTGGATATAAATCCTCCTCTTAAAAAAACTTTTAACATCTCTCTACCCAGAAGATAATTAAATTCTATGATTCCTTGAACGAATGCTGATTATTTACGAGCAGTAAAGTTTTATCATGGACAATTTTGTTAAGTGGTTACAATCGCAGCATTAAGCTCACAATGCCGCAGTAAACACTGTCATCAAAGAATGGGAGAGCATAAATCGTCAGAAGAACTGTTTACTCGTACCTTTTCCGCGATTTGCCTCCAGGGCTCCTTCCCCAACAAATTCGACAATGTTAGAGGAAGTAGCCATGGAAACCTTTCAATTGAGTAACAACATTCCACATCAACGGGTGGGCAAGTCGAAACGGGTAATTCGAGGCCTTGAAGTATAGGCAAGTCACACCAAGCAGCAGACACAAGTGACAATAACGTCAAAGAATTCATCAAGGTCTATAAAACACGACAATTGTTTTCAGTTAGGAGAATTGAATGAAATCAATGAATACACACAGGAAGAAGCATATCTATGCTTTTGATACAGATACCTGATGTGACGAAGTTTCCAAAGAAAGCTGAACTGCATTTTGAAACTGACCAATCAGTTCCACAAACCAATGCTGTCTCTCGTCATACTTCATTTTGGTGCAAGAATCAATTATAAGAGGGACAACACTGCAAAACAATTCCTTGTTCCTTTTTCCTGCAACAAAAGTTTACTTAAAGATTGATTTCTGCGACAGAATGAAGAGAAAAAAATTACATTACCTTGATTCGTAATTGCAACCTTGAATGCCACTTGAGTAATTCAAAGACTCAACTATCGAGTCACACTAAACATTTATAAAAGAAACTGTTTCTATGCTGCAATAAGGAGAGTTTGACACATCCAGAAAGGTTGTCCCACAAACGTTAAATACTTAAACGTTTCCATGAAATCCTCCTTGAAAAGGGGATAGTGCGGGTACGTGAAACGTTAATCAAGCATCCCTCCATTCCCATAAGACCTTTCGGAATTGTAACCTCTATACTAAAACTTTGTTCGACACAGCTTAATTGCTGAAGGTACTTTTTTTTCAAAACAAACAAACAAAAAAGACAAAACAGGTTTTCTTACCAATGAGATCAGTATTTAAAATAAAGTCAATGCATGGAGCAAGCCACTTCACCGGAGCTATACCATCTTGAACCGCGTAACAACGCAGAATGAAATCTTTGGTGTTTGTAACCTATAAGAGAATAAGCGTTAGAGGTCAAAGGGAAAGTTTTAGCCACACCAAACATAGCCGCAAAATTTTCCATGTACTCTTATATGTTACCTTCAATCAGATAATTTCCTATTGCAATATCAAATAAACACGATTTGTAACATAAATATTGTCGCCTGTGCCCGTGGTGATGTTTTCTATCGTGGCAAGGCAAAAGCCTGACGAGGCAATGGTGAAGGAGTGATTGCAGCTTTAAACTGAGGTGCAGTGTCCTTTCAACCGACGTCTAGAGGCTGAAGTAAGCTGGCTCCACGTGCTACTTTAGCAAGTATCTCGGTAACACTTAAAATTGACTGTGGAAAACATAACTCACAAAAAAAACCTACTTGTGTGTTCGGCAAAATGCGTTCCACGTTTTCAATAGGGATCAGTGCAAAACAGCGAGAAAACAACCTCAAACACTCACTCTGGCGAAAAGATAAAGAAAATCATATTAATTCTATCACTGAAATTTTACTAGTGCATATTAACAGGGATAATCAACTTTACCTCACTCTTCTCTGCACCAAGGGCATTAAACATGCGCTCAAGGGCCGTTATGGTCCATCCAACGACAGACGCAGGTGGTTCTTTTAAACAAAGGACTGAAAGGTAAGCTTCCAAAATGGTCGATCTCAGGGTACAGTCCTGGTCAAACATAATAAGAGAGTAAAACCTGGGTTCAGCGAACAAGTTTTGAAATATTGAATTAGATTTATACATTATGGACTCTAGAAGTTTGGTGAGGTGTCTAATCTCTTTCGTGACTGATATAGCAAAACTACCAAAGCGTATTGAGTGCATTAGCGTGTTTCTCCTGACAATTGATAGAAAAGAACCGATTGAAACTTAGTGTAGACGGCAGCATAGTTTATCAAAATCCGCTCCTGATAACTCGGAACCCCTTGCACACTAGATTTCCCCTAGATAATGAAAACTGTGCCAAGATTTTCATTTCACGCTACTTATCATGGTCTAGAATCCCCTTCGTTAAAAAAGCGCAGCTTTCATCATGATTATTTTTCACACAAGGGATGTTTATAAGACGAAAACACACGGCGCCTTCCAGAGGAGGTAAAATTCCCCTTCTAATACCTGCACATATAAGCACTTTACTTCTCGTCTCTTATGACACGTCGCACCTTCTGGAACACGAGGCTTTGAGTTCGTCCAAATGAATTAGCAAAATTCCAACCTAATGAAAACGATATCGCGGTCTGCTAGAAATCCACATATACAATGAATCGTGTGATATTTTACACTTATAAGTTGAACTGACCGTGCTTTTTCTCCATAGCTCTGTTAACCCTTCCTCATAGAACTCTTTCATCTTGGAGGAAGAAATGACATAAACCAGTCTTGACAAATTCTTCAGCAGCTCTCTTTTGCACAGATCCTGTCAAATTAATTTTAAATAGAGGTAGGTAGAAGCTCTTTTAACTTAAAACATTATACAAATCTTTGGGAATTCACAGGACGGGTCTTTTCGAAGAGTTTAAATAACTATCTTCAATGAAAACATGAACTCTGTGTTCTTCATTTAAAAAAGTAAGTGAACGCCATTAAAGATATTATGTCAATTGCTTTTATGACCCGTTCCACCGCAAAGCAATAGTTTCATAACATAGAATTGTAAGAAAGTAAAAAAGTAAATATTCAAACGAAAACTGTGTAACAGTAACTTCCGATGTAGAAGATATCACGTGGCTGTGCGGAGACACGAAATTTTTCTCGGCGTAGCGAACGAGTGAAATATTCTGATGTTTTTCAACACTGGAAGAGAAATTTGGTATCTCTAAGCAATTCAGCTTTTGGGCTTTAGATTTCACGTGGAGTGTCACGTGACTTTTGATGTAAACAAACCCCGAAAGTTCGGACATTGAGTCGAGTTCGCAGCACATGTGTCCAAATTTCGGCTTTGGAAATTTTTCTTAAATAACTTCCCACTTTAAAGAAGTGTTCTTCGCTCAAAATTGGCGTCTTTCTTTTATCATTTTCTGATCGTTTATCAAGCAAGTTGTCATTTCGCTGCCGTTGAAAAAGATGCGAAGAATGTTACAGGAAGAATTGCGGCATGGAATAATCGAACTAGTTCTGCGTACAGTGATGTATCTGTGTGCTTAGACTGTTAAATAAAATCACTTCTGTCTGAAAATTAGTGCCCACGAATCGCTGTAGAACGTGAGGAAGCCTTAATTCCCACACGAAATTGCGTACCTGGGTGTGGATTTCCTCAGCTGATAAATATACCGATTTTTTTTAACCTTAAGTAACTCAAGTGGGAAATTCTGCGAAACTCAGAACAACTTTCAAGAGGAGTTAAACTTAAGAACGGCAGATTACGGCCGACGCTAGTTTTTGTGGTACTAATGTCTAAAAAGAACTGAAGGTATCTTGTTATTACACAACAGTTCACGTAGTTTTTCATTGCTGTTTATGTAATAAGGTTGGATAGTTATACTTTCAAACTCAAAATATTTCCCATGAGGACCTCAAAAGTCTCATATCCTGACAATAACACTCACCCCCAGGCCCATAAACGACACACTACTCAGCAGAGACGACAAGAACGAGGACAGAGTAGAGGAGGACTGGGCTTGATTGACTGCAAGCCTGATACACAATTTTCTTGTATCCTCCCCTAGGCAGAATGAGGAGACAATTGTTAGCTATCTCTCATCGACAGGAAAAAATAAAGGAAGAAAGCAAACTGTAGTAGAAAGTATTTGGAAGAACAGAAAAAAAATGATGCATGTGATGCGAAGAAAGAGAAATAGAAATTGAGGCAATAGATTTATCTTACCAAAATTGGCTGTCATGATTGGTCCTAGTACTGACAACCAATTCACTGGTGGCAGTGCCACATGGGAGACGCTGACCAGTGATTCTAACACTGCGGGTACTCTTCCTTCACCGAAGTTCAAATGAGGACCTACAGCAATAAAACCATGGTGATAATTTACCGAAAGGAATCACTCTAAAATCTTCTAAAATAACCATTCCTTTTGGATCGTAGTACTCGTTATGACACATAGAGATCGCATGCAACGGGAACACAAAACGTAGCTTTCGATTAATTCTTACGGACCGTTAGAACTTAATTACCATACTGTATCTAATATTATAACAAAATTCATCAAAGAAGTAAAATTGAAATTACCTATCTTCCCAGCCTGGCCAAGAAAATCAAAGAGCAGTCGCAAAATACTCCCCTCTGACAGGTAACTGTAATTTAACGGAGCTGACAGAGAAAAAGCAATAATGAGTGCTGAATGCAGCATAGGAAAGATCAGGCAAAGACTTCCTAGTGCGTTAAAACGTTAGAATAGCAATTAAGACAAAATGTTGAAGTAGAATTTCGCACACAATTTTTATTCAATAGGCAGATGAAAAGTAGTTGTAAATGTATTTCCTACGATAAAAGATGACCAACGGTCGTTTACAAACACTGACTGGAAGTATCAGCGACTGATAGAATGTAAAAATAACAGTTGCAGGGGAAGCAAATGAACAAAATAACATTTAACGATAAAGGAAAAAATATCATACAACAAATGACACAACCATGACAAAAAGACATCACGATCGTGCAACATTACTTTTAAGGAGAAGCAAAAAGATTCACTTTCGCTGAAACCCTTTTCCACTAAAAAGGTGTAAGATACCACAGATAATGACAAAAGAAACAACGTTAATTAAATAACAGATCAGTAACGCTAGGTAAGAGGTAACAATGTTTAATCGCCCGCAAAAAATCTGACGAAAAAACTGGTAAAAAACCTCTCCATGTTTTAACCTACATTTGGCACCAATCTCTAAGCCTCCAAATTTACACTGCATGGATGAACTGATAAAAAGGTAATTTTTCCCATTTCCTAACACGCTCCACAACAAGAATTCGTTTGAAAAGGCAGCCAAACACAGTTGATAGAGTATCCGCTGGCAACATCACCATGGAATTCAGGTTTTTCTCTCCTCTCTCCGACCTTGGTGACATGTTTTATATCATTAGAGAGCATGCACGTTGTTTATTACTTACCACTTGTATTACTGATTGAACTGGAAGTAACTGCGTTGTACAGATGACCAAGAAGCCAGGCTGTATTAAAACTGAGACCCAAATCTTCCGGCGATGAGACAAGCTTCCAAATAACAGTCAAAAATAATAACAGTGAAGATGAAAAAATTCATTGCCCTTATCCTCATCATCATCTTCATAAGTGCAATAATTATCATCATTTTTTTATTATCATAACACTAATAATAAAAATGAACTTTAGGAAAAAATCCGCTAATAATTACAAAAGCAAGTACATTTCAACTTTTCGGCATCGCCCTAAACATTATTATCAAAGGAAAGTCGTCCGGGTGAGAGTGGTCCTGAAGACGACTAGTGCTAACTTTATAAAAGTAAAGACAATAATAATAATAATAATAATAATAATAATAATAATAATTATTATTATTATTATTATTATTATTATTATTATTACTACTATTGTCATTATTATCATTATTTTTATTGTTATTATTTTATTATTATTGAAGACATTTGAAACAAAACAATCTACCATCCTTACCTTTTGGAGATATTTAATGACGCTTCCTCCATTTTTAGAAAACACGACGTCAGAAGTAGAAGAATCCATCTATAGAATAAGCGGTCACAACTATTACACGGGATAGTGTTCAAATAATGGTAAATAAACGATGATAATCTGAAATGGTCGAGATATCATTTCTGGAAGAAATAAATAAGTACAGTCAGGGCTCACTCGATATCCTTTACACTTTAACATTACAACTTACGGTAAACAACCCCTGCTCAGAACCAAGTAGAGCTACGATTCCGTTCACAGCTGACAGTTGCCGTCGCTCAAAAACATCCTGTTGGCAAAGACAAATTCAACAGTTCACTGTTCCAGTGTTACCGCACAAAAATGCATGATCATCACCCTTCAGCTCTTAATTAGGCTACTGACATCCGTGTTTCGTTGATACTTGACAATAAAGACTCATGATACAATTCCACTGTGGCCAGATGTTCTTTGAACGAACGTGAATCGATAATCTAACACATTCTACTTTTAGTCGACAAAGAGACGATCACCTTCCTAATAAATTACCTTATTTTCAAGAACACTTCGCCAATCATTGCCAGCTTGTCTGGCCAACTCAATGGCTCCACCATGACCACAAGATACAAGTCCATGAAGAAGCAACCCGAGAGATAAAGAAATACCGCAAAACTAATAAAAAAGGATCAATAAAAAACATATCAAAGTGAATGTCCATCCTCGTTTTCTAGAATGGTGCTGTTTCGTATCCAAATTAATTTCTGAGTTCCAAAAGGTTGGAGTGAAATCATATGGCTTTCTTTCGTCCAGTTTAAATATTCATTTCTGCATACCTCTGGGTGTTTGCTTGACAACGTTTGAATGTTATCAATGCACTGCAAAGCTTGATCGGTAGACAGCAGGCCGGTGTGGAACGCATACACACAAACACAAGCCACACTAAAAGACAGGCACTAAAAAAAAGAGACAATCGTATTAAATACAGTCATTATCAAAATAACGTAAGCCTTGTATGAAATGGTGCACCTAATGTTTATTTCGAATAATTGGCGATACCCATTATTTTCTTTTTGTCTTCTACAAGAGAGAACTTTTTTCAGATCTCCTTAACCTTACCTGAAGTTTTTGACCAGGGTCTTTGCATTGCTCATTTAGCCTGTCAACAAGTTTGTGATAAAGATCTGTGACGTGATCCCTGGAGTCAGCAAGACCCTCTTTACACAAAGAGGACACAACGAGTCCAAAACCGAGACACGCGCCTTCCCTGTAAAGAAATAGATTCATCCATTCAATAATATGATTACAATACACTTCAAAAGATTTACGACACAGGTATAGCAGGTGCCTAAACCGTAACCGCTGACACAGGGAACTCACTTCCGACAATCACAATACCATTTCAAAACAAACAAATAAACAGTGCCAGCTGAGGAAATATTTAGCGAAATGTTTAATTTCAATTGTCCTTAACTTCGTTATTTGAAGCTGAAATGATTGGCCCAATGGCATACTGTCACTAACCATCTGAGAGACTGAGTACTGTACACGTCGTACTCGAGACATGAAGAAGCAGTCACTTTATGCATTTCTTACGTGTTATCCAAGTCATATGAAAAGGCAGTCTCCTCCAAGACATCTAAAGCTGTAGACATCAGTGGATAGCCCTGGCAAAAGAGCAAGTTGAACATGCAATTATCAAGGAAACGTTACCATCGGTGAAAGGAAAGCTTATTCACTTAGGCAACGAAGTCAACCCTTACATTAACAAAAAAACAAACAGATCGGCGACCAAGCGAAGGCAAATGAAGCCAATAAGTTGCACTTCAGGTCAATGCAGTCTATTTTGACTCTGCAGAAAAGGTAAATGTAGCACGTGGAGAATTATTTCGGAAACCTCCCAATGCCGAGTGCCGGCTGCGTAAGGAACATGTACCTACCTCTTTACCGTAGGCGTCACTGAAAAAGAGAGAGAACATATTAAAGGTCACTGATAGAGACATGTATCCCATTACAATAAAACTTGAGCGCAAAAACCCATGATGTAGTGAAGAAACATTAACAGGACTACACACCTGAAATGCTCTTCATGGAGCTTGCTGAGCAACAATCCAAGTCCTACAGAACAAGACATCTGTAACGAAGCTGAGCTACCTGATCTAAATGAAAGATAACAAGAATGTTTAGATACTTCTTAAAGACAAGGTATTGGCTCGGAAAACGCATCACAATTTCCGTAAAATCGCTGATTTTATAGTAAAATACCACAATTGCACAAAATTACTTGGATTGTCCTGGAATCCTTTGCTTCAGCAGTACAGTGATGTCGTGAATTCTGTCAGTGTCAAGAACGACAAGACAAGGGACCAAAAGTGACAAGGATAACGCAGCACATGAGCGAGCTAACAACGAACTGGCAGTGGAGCTGGGTGAAGACACCTGCAAGGTAGTAGTTAAATCAATGTATACAGAACATCTTTGTGAACTTGATTAGATTGCTTTACTATAAATTAGGATCGAAATGAAACTGTCCGAGGAACTTATAACCGGCCTTTACAAAGAAATATGTCAAAGGCGGGATTGTCTGCTTTTGACTCTTGGTTTCATTTGCTTTTTTTTTTTAGTAATTATATTTTTGTTTCTAGTCCACATAGTCATCGTAAACTGCTAACAGTCCTTTCATACCAAGAAAGACAAGGTTTACAATCACCTGCTGACACCAAACCAGAGTAGGACCCTTTGGCTTATAATTACCATCCAACACCACCATTACTGTGTCAGCCACCACGCTCAGCCATTCGTTGTTCCACTGATACTGTTCTGTGGTCTCTGAAGAAGTCTGCTGACGTACAATCATCGATACAGCCCGCGCAAGCCCTACTAAAGCAAGCACTGAATTACCTTGCACAGACGGGTTACCTCTAGGTAAAGAAATTGGTCGAAAATAAGTATCAAAAATTAAAAAAAATCTAGAAGAATACGACTGATCTGATATAAGCCAAAAGGGTTTCCTTAAACACTCATAAAGGGTGTAGAATTTGATTTATTGTCGGACTAACGGGAGTTCTTAGTATTGTAATTTTATATTCACTGTTTTCCAATTTTTTTCCAATCTTATCTTATCATAATCTTTTAGTTCTTTGTTTTATGATCTAAAATATTTCATTTAAGATAATCAACACCGACAAGCCCCGCTACAAATTCTGTATTGCATTGTATCGTTTCAAGTACAACACCAAACGAGCGTCATAGATCGGCAAAGGAATCCGGTAAGCTTGGAATGCCTAAGTCAGTTTAGCTGTACCACAAAACAAACTTAGCTTTACGGCTTTTAAATGAGAATCTTTTCCACAGAAGTAATTAATGCTGTTCTCAATTCAGCAATTTACACATGACACTTAATTTACCTTGATACTGTTCTGAGTTGTTCAGTGATCTGATCTCTTACCCTGATGTTCAAAAGAAGTACAAAGATAGTAACTGTTAAATTAATTAAGGTATATGAGTAATAATAAGTAATGAAGAACCAAAAGGACCTTCAAAAATAACACATACTAAAAGGACTTTAGAGGTCCTCCAACACATGATTTATGTGTAAATTCACTTTCCTGTAATATATTCGTGCAGTATGTCGCAAAGTGCTTGAGTTAGCTTTCTTTTGACGTATTCGATAAACGTGACTGTATTGCAAACACTTTACACTTAATGACTTTGAGAACTGGTATCAACGAACTTAACAGCAAAGAGGGAAATTCGTATAAACCACTGCGCACTAACCAAAGCCAGCAATTGGACTGTCTTGTTTTTAGTTCTTCGGTATCTTGAATGTGACCATGACTATGTTGCATCTCAAGCTCAGCTTTACGACCCTACAACGAGGCCAACAGATATAAATAACTTCTCAATAAAATTCCTCCTCAAGAGCTGAGTGATCGATCACGAAAACAGAATATGCGAATATAGAAAATCCGTGATTAAGAGAGTCCTTCTATGTATAATGTCTTCTACTGATGTTTCCACGGAATCACACGACCGACAGCTCGTCAATACGAGCTCAAAGAGTAATCATAAAAATACAATGCTAAACAGCCAAGATTTAAAGAGCAAAAAAGCTTCAAAATAAAGAATTTTTCGTCCGGTGCAATGGAGAAGAGACTATTCTCCAGTTGATTACAGTTTGACCTTTTAGTATACAAAGACTCTTCTTTCTCTCCATGACTTTTCCGAGTATCCCAAAACGTTCGAAGTCGGGAAAAAAGAAGACTTATAAAGAGAATAGAAGGAAGTTCATTATGTGTACGTGACACAGAACAAAAACAGTTAAAAAACACAAATTAAACGCTTAGGGTAATAGTTGGCCGATTCCTTCTTCTCCTAAATCCTTCTGCGGAGTCTACGCTATGATGTGGATAGTGATAGCATTTCCAATCAAATAACGGCCTGAGTAAAAAAGACCACCGGATGGTTTAAGGAGTAACACAGATAGGATAACGAGTAGAAGGAAACCAGATGGATCTTTTGAGGAGAGATGATTTTTAAAATGCCTTTCGTACGTATTTCGTCAATCACTTGTGAAGATTGTTGAGCATCCTCCTGGGATCAACAATGTCCAAAGGATAGAGCACATTAATAGAACAGGAAAGATGGCAAATATTTAATTGAGCCCAGTAAAGATGGGATCCATTCTGTCAAGAGGACGGGAAAATAAAATATGCTTATTACATCATACGTACCTCTACACAAGCCTTGTAAGCGCGATTCATGAAGGAAAACCACGCTTGAGGCAGCAGTAATGTTCTGTGCCATTCAGTCGGCTGCACTGGTACCTAATGTAATAGGATGAATCATCAAACATACGTGTAGCCAATCCGCACACAACAGACAGATGAACCGATTTTCACTAAGAAATCACACTAAGTCTATTGGAAATAAGATTTAAATTTGTGGGGAATATCACTTGAAAACTCTCCACTTTTAGCTGCGACATACCCAATCATGTCATGCGTTTGACTAATCACATAAGTTCGAATCGAATTGATTGAATATAAACCCTTTCACTCGTACGGTAATAAATGACCCAACCTGCTTCAAATAAAACTAAGGCATTTCCATTGACATTCCCAAAGTGATGTTTCCCCAATTTTCAAATAGCGTTCTACCGTTATCAAAGAAAAAAGGAACTTGCTTGCTAAAATTTGCCCAGTAAAATCAAAAGGGAAAGTCCTCCACAATAAAAGTTTTCGATAACACGCTGTTGCTTTAAGTTTGGTCATGCGTGATGCAACACAGTGATGCATAAAAAACATAACAGCTATCAACTGCACGAAAAGTGCTCGTTTATATAATCCTCGACATAATCTGTTCCTTTAAGCTGTTCCGTTTGATTCTCGTGGATATCAGCAAATGGTTTACTAATAAATGAAGTGGTGTTGAAAAAATAAAAAAACGTTTTTGGCATCATTGAGATCACGGCTGCATTACTAACTTTGTCACGAGACAATTTTCTAACGGAAACGTCTACAGATATTGGAGTGAGTTCCTTTGGAACTATTCGCGTAAAAATCAGTGATTTTGGGTCACACGCATCAAATGAGTCGATGAATTCTTGTTGTGAGTGACCACCGATACTCATGACTATGTCTGATTATTCTAAAATGAATAAAAACTTAGCCTGAAAAAAGGAAAAGAAACTTGCTGACAATCAAGTAAAAATACTAATTATAAACAACACAGAAGTACTTTAAGTGATTAGGTTGTTTGCATGACTTACTTCGTGAAGTAGTGAATCTAACATCTGTCTGTATGTACGAGCACAATCAACCATATATTTTCTGGCCCGTTTCCCTTCGTGTTGTTCAAAAGGAGGTTCGAAACTAAACAGCATTCCAGCTGATTCAATACAAAAGAGTAGTTCACATAGAGAAACATAAAACAGGCGCCACTCACAAACTTTGAAAGTAGAAAGAAACTTCCATGGCTGATATATGTACTAAAAGATATTACGTAAATAGACTTGGCAACGTAGCAAAGGAGAAAGTGAGGGACAGAGAGGGAAGTTACCACCTGATCCACACTTTGGGATGATACAGTTTCCATTTAACTTATAAACAAGAAGTCTATCGTACGCAAGTCTCTTTTTGAAACCGCATTACAGCTAACTGTAATCTGAGTCTGATGATGTAGGTGAACAGATTATCACGGAGGAGAACGTGGAAAATAACACTATCGATAGATGATGAAGGGGAAATAGAAAAATTCACATTGCCGACAACTAGAGAAAAACAACCTCAGTTTAACTAAAAATACATTTTGTGGAATCAATATATCCAAGCCAAGGCCCGGACTGTCCATATCTGTCCCCGCTGTTTCTCTTGATATACATCAGGGAGCTTAAAAATATGGTAACAAGTTATACAATTATAAATCAATATCTGTTGTATTCTTGGTACCTGCAAGTCCTTGGTTCAATCCAGGTGATTTCGACTTCTCATATTGTGACGTCAAAAATTTTGGGATGGATCGCAAATTCCTCTCATGTGATGATGAAGTGTGACCCAAACCCCGTGGCATAGATTCAGCTTCCACTTTGATCATGTTGGTCAATAGCTTCTGGTAGCCTGAAATTCGTTGTATCAAGAACTAGTAATTTCTTTCTGCTTTCGTTGTTGTTGTTTTTTTTTCAGCATTTTAACACGCTGAACTGGTTCAAGCATTAGAGCTGATACCACCAGTAGGTTCCACTTTGTTTACTGTGATACAACATGGCATTGGGATCACACAGTACGGCGGATTTAGCGACATCAATAACATATCTTGATTCAAAAGAGTTATTTAAAATCATTGTCTGTTGTATTAAGGAGTTTGCTATGCTCTTAGGGTGAAATCGGTGACTGACTGGATGCAAAGAATGGTACTGTTGGATCAATCCCGTTGAGTTTTATTTGTAAAAAGACTGATTTTCACGAATAGAATGAAGAGTAAGATTTTGTACCTTGGAGTTCATCTTGTTTGACCATCTGCAGAAGCTCAACATAAGCAGTCCCAGGGGGCATTGAGTTATCAATGGATTGTTGTACAGCGGCTTCATCATACTCTTCATCCACGTTGCCATCAAGTTTTTTCTTAGACGCCAGCAATTCTTCTTTCAGTGGAAGGTAGATCTACGTATGGCATACATTTAACATAAAACATCTGATTTGTGGTTTAGATGCTATGAGGTCCACATATCAAGTTGATACCGAATACTCCACAGAGATGAATGGACTCTGATGCGAACTAACGATGAACTAAACCAGAAATAACTATATAGAGCGTTTTAACCGACGGCTTCATACAAACACTACAATACCTTTGGAGGAAGATGAATCAGCTTGAAATCAGATGGATGAAATATTGACAAAGTCGTGAAAGCAGCATGAGCGACAGGCGACTCCTGATGGTAAGAGACCAAACCACACAGTAAGCATCAATAAATGAACGTTGATTCCTGGCGGTCAATGGCTTTGTTCAGCGGCTTTACCAACTGAGCCCAACTTATTCTTCGTGTCCTTGACAGTTTTTTTGTTGTTTTCATTGGACCCTCTGACGTCGATAACGGTTACAGTTTACAACTATTTTTAATATTTTCGGTTTCAGGAGTTTCTAAAAAAGATTTGTACATTCTCTGTCTGTGTCACTTCTTTGGATTTCTAAAAACAGAAGACCTAGTGAAATCGACGTCGACGTCGACCTCATCGCCTGAAGAAGACTAGCAGTATGCAGTCGAAACGTCGCAATCTACATCACACGTGACTACATCATGAGACAAACGAAAAACTTAGCTTTTATTATACATACAATTTCACACGTAATAATACATATGCAAAATTTTAGCGTACTCCTTGGCTGAAAACACGTCAATTAATACCAAGTAGTGCAGAAAATTGAAGTTAAGTGCAGAGAGTTGACATTAAATTGATTGACTGGTAAGTCGCGAAAGCCCAACAAAACAAAATGGCGGACAGGTTAGGAGAAAGTAGCAACGTTTTAATCCAGAGTTTGAGGGAGAATGCTTAGAGAAAAAAAACATCCAACAAAGGAAAAACAACTGGCTAAAAGTCTAGCTTCCAAAACCGGATAGAAGTATGAAACGGAGGCCCTCAGTAAAATTCTCGAGGAGTTTTATGCAACAGTTCGTACGAAAGACGTGGAAGATTACAAATGTGATAGCTTTCACGAGATGGTTATTACTAACGACCGATACCTAACAGAGAAAGAAGAATATAAACGCTTGATTATTCTCCAGATAAATTTTAAAAGTTTGAAGCAAAAAGAAAAAGCCTGACTACTCCTGTAACGAGACAAAGGCAAATGGCCGAACTGGTGAGCCATTACACGAAATAAGGACATCTAAAAGGAAAACAGTCATGATTTTGCTTGTATATTATCAACTAGTAATCACATGATTTTCCTCGTGCGAACCCTACGGGTTCGTGCAATTGGTTTAGCCTTTGAAAAATTTACTCGTGCTGATTTATTCCAAATTGCACTCGAAATCATGTGATTACCAATTAACATTGCTCTTCCCTACGTTCAGTTATCATCAAATATCACTTCACCTTGAGCAGAACAACGTCTCGTGCATTTGTTAGAAGAACATATCACCGTTACAGCGGTCATACGAACCTCATGCTGCGTTAACGACCATAGAAAGGTAAGTACTTCATTCTTAAAATCCTGAAAAAGGAAAGAAAATGTCAAGTCGGAGTTAATTCTAAAAATTCGTTTGCAAAGATATCCATGATTTTCAATTCCCTTGAAACAGCTAAAAAAATTAGAGCAACGTTTAAAACCTCAAGCAAACCACTCGTACCAGATAAACTGAAGAGTTAGAGACCAGGTCGGATACAATTCTGAACAACTGACAAATACTGCACAGAACTTGGGGCCGTCTGTCCATGCCAAGCTTCACGGAAAGGACTTTCCACGCAGTGCATAGATCGACAACCTGAGGAAGAACAAAAATGTGACACAGATCTGAATCACATCTAAGTGTCCATCTACGGAAGCCTGAAGTTGAAGATGATATCATGTACTTGTACTTTTGTTAGTTTTTTGTTTGTTTTGTTTGTTTGTTTTCAATAAATACTCAGTTGACGTTAAAGGCAGTCAAGGGCAGATGCAAAATTTAATTCGACATACCTCAGCTTTACAAAGCTGTTCCAGGGCTTGCAGTGCTAATGATACCACTAATGCAGAGGGAGTGTTTTTAGTCTCGCCTGGCTTTGTATTCTCATCAAGCAATTTGGACAGCAAACCAAGTAGATCTTCACCGTGCTGAGAGGGCCTGAAGAGGACCACCAACATATATCAGGCAAAATTAGTCATAAAACATGATTATTCATTTGCAACTTCTATCCCCTGAAGTATAAATGCGTCTCATTTGTTGTTAGTTCTTATTTATTTATTTATTTGAGTATTTATTTTAATGAACTAACGACGGAGATGCTTCCAAATCAGGATTAATCAAATATTACTTCAAACTTTTATTAAAAACAATGCATTTTTGGCAACCCTGATCGCGTTTATGGCCTCCAATATATAAGAATTGTTTAACCCAGAACTACGTTATATGCTTCAGCTGATATGTCTTACATCTCACAAGCGAAGGAAGCAAGACGTCTAATCACCTTTAATTTCTACCAAATTGAAGCAGAGCACTCCAAAATGTTTTGAAAATAAGCTTGCTTCACTCTTCTCCCCGTTGGCATGACCGCAATTATGTCGGGTTTGAATAAAAAAAAAGAAAGAAAGAAAGCAGCCAAACACTTTTCTCAGCTCTGTTTTAATTCAAAGGGCATATTATGAAGAAAAAAATATGTTGCGGCTATTTTTGATAAGCTTTCTATTTCCTCAGAACGTGGATCTTTATCGCCTACTTTCAAAACTTTGAGAAATTCATATGATCAACATGCTCACTCCTTTTTTTTTTTTTTGCCAGGGACACTCTTTGTGAAATGTCCATGCATGATCGCAGCATATAAAAAAGCATAAAAGTAGTAGTAGCAAAAGCAACTGATGAACTAAACAAAATTCCCTGTGGTAAATCTTCGCTACAAATGCGTTCTGTGTACCTCACATGTACTTTATTTCGTACGATCGTTACCTAAGCTTGCAGATGTCTAATAAACAAGCTGCTTGAGCAATCTTAATCTCCAAATCCAATTCAGCTCCCAAATTGGAGTCAACTACTGAACTCAGTGCTTTCTGAAGGTGCGGAAACACTCGGTTATTTGACTGCCACAACTTGCAAATCAGTCTCAGAGAAACAGGCTTAAGAAGAGGACACTTTCCTATTGTCTGAATCGTGCGTAACACAGGACCTATACAAAACTGCCAAAAAGGAAAATGAACATAATTTATGCACGGGTGAGGAAATTTCTACAGAAGTAGTCACATGATAAAACTACATTTTTCACAATTTTTAACGCTAAACTAAAAATAATAATGTGTTTATAAAAAAACCTCCACACCCCTCGACATCAGACCACCCTACAAACTGGTTAGCGGCTACATGTTACTGAAGAAACCGGAGTACCTTGTGAGTGGCAAGTTGTGGTATAGTGTACAGAGCATACTGTTTCACTTCAGAATCAACTTCTTTACTAAGTTTATAGAGTATTAATGGCAGAAAAGTAACAGCCTGCAAAATAAGACATCACATAAACCGGTGAATACCGAGCCTAAAAAAAGGGTCGAATGAACACAATTCTTAATCTGTAACCACTTTCAAAGTAAGCCGATTCTAAAGGGAGAAGGCTATGCTCCATTTGGGGCTCATTTGCAGTTCATAATATCGAAGAAAATCAACGGTTACTTCTGCGGCTAATTCTAGAATAGAGAAGATCGCTACTGGTTTAAGACCGAAAAACGATGAAAAAGCAGGTGCCTGCTAAAAGTTAAACGCATAGTAAAGCCACATGATTTGTTCCATACATGAGATTAGTAAGCTCTGTAAGACCAAAGCAAGTAGCTTACGTTTGTTCTTGATACAAGAGTATCTGGAATACTGTCATTAGTACTTAAGGGTAAAACAACCAACGGTAAGTCTGTAGTTCTGATTAAATAAATAAGTTACAAGGTAGTCCGAGTATTTTTCTATCTAACATCTTTCTTTGTCCATTTTATTGTTGGTGTACAGTGCAGACACAGACTTTATTTTTCAGACCTGTGATGGATCTGCCTTTGCTAAAATTGGGATAACTTCTAAGACTTCCATAGCAAGAGATCCTTGTGAAGTCACCAACAATGCAGACAACATCAAAGGAACATGACTTAGCAGGCGACGGTGTGAAGCTACTGACTTCTGTAAATTGCTCAGCCAGTGCTTTGTAGATTTGGTGTTTCTTAGAAAGTGAAAACAGTCATACATAAATTATCTGACCATAAAGTCTTCTTTCTCCTGAAAACAGGACTAATCCACAAAAATATTTCACAGCTAGCATAGCACTATTACCTAATTAAGATGATCATTTCTTCAGCACAGGCTGTCATCTGTCTGATACACAAACTCAGAGCTGAAGCATAGTGCTGATGAGTATTCCCAATAGTCTGAAAAAAAGACAAAACCTACTAACTTATGTGCTTCCCATATTTTTGAAAAGTTAAGCATATTATTCTTTCTTGAGATTGCTGCAAGCTGATTGATGTTTCATTGTATGATATGTACTTTTGTTTCATTGTGTCATCTTGTTCAAGTTTTAATTGTGCATGTTATCAAGTATATCTACTTATTGCAACTAATTTTTCCAAGAGGTTCCACAAGTTTTATTGTGTGAAAAAGGCACAGAATTATTCTTGTATGCAACTATGTTTCAATCACTGTTTGATTCAGCTGCTTATAAATGTTTTCATAGGATAATTACCAGTAATTCAAATCAATCAACCAGTGTACTCTAACTGTTCCCACCGCAGCCAGAGGCAATCATCACATTACATGTATGCACTTCTCACCTTAGTTTGGTTTTCCTCAATTAGGGGAATAACATTGTTTTCCACAAATCCTAAGATCTTGAGAGCTTTACAGTGTAAAGAATGCACAGTGCCACCCTGCATCCTTATGCTGAATGTCTGCCTGGGAGGTGATGTTATAATTTGAAGTATTGGTTGCACAAGAAATAAATGACTGACGGGGAGAAACAGGCAGTCAGGCTTGAAATGTTTTAATTGAGTTTGCACTGTTGACAAACCTACATGAAGAAAGATGAAAATTTTTAATGCCATATTCAAGAATGGTCTTATCAAGATCAAGATCAAGATCAAGACCCTAAGTGCAGAGTGCTTCAGTTAAGAACTAGACCTCTCTTACCCTTGCTTCATCAAGACATCTTAAAAAACCAGAAGGATTGACACTTACAGAGCTGAAGAATATGAATGTAACAGTCTCCCAGTGAATCCAGAAGAAGCTTGCTCAAGGTTGGTAAGATGTATAATTGCAAGAAGGCCTTTAATAAGAAAAATCAATTACATTATTCAGAATTAATTAACTGTAACTACTATGTCAATTTTCATCAATTTGAAACCCACTAAAGTCACATAACAAGAATCAATTCATTTTCCTGGGTTTTGAAAATTCCTATATAATGTTAATTCTTCATCCAAATGAAATTTTGACAAAAAAAATTGAACTAAAACAAATACATGTACATTAAAAGCTTACATTTCTATTTGAATGACTAACAAGTGAGCTCAAAACCATAAAAGTTTACCATTTAACCTGGAAAACTCATTTTTTAATAATATCACACAGTTCAGAACTTAAAATAGTAAAACTACTTGACTCTCCACTCTTGCCATTCATTTGGCCTTTAGCAATTGTTCTGAGTTTTGAGTCCTTACTTTACTAAATAAGTTACCAAAGCAATACCTGTGGACAATGATGTTGAATTGTTTGCAATAAGAGGATGGATGATGTCATGTCAGAGCCAAAAGACAGACTCTCGCAACACAAAGAAAACAAATGATTCACCATCAGCTCCAAATGGCTAGTACCTAAATATACCATGCAGAACAAAGGTAATTATTTAAAAAAAAAAATAATCACAATCAAAATATAATGAAGTATATTATAAAGTACATTATATAAATATAATAATATTAATATATAATATAATAATATTACATAAATACAATAATATTTTCTTTGTCCCACACTCGTGACAAGACAAAAAAAACATCATTCTCTATTTCTTTACCAAGCTCAAAATCTACCATCTCTCTTATTTCTATCTACAAACATTACGCTATCGACATTGCTGATCCTAGCAGTTTGTAGGACATGTGTCACATGAACTTTGTAACAGACCTTGCTCACCATGGAGTCTCTGTGGCTTGGTGGTAGAGCATTGGAGCATAGAATCCACAGGTCTGAGGTTTGATTCCTCATGGGGACTCAGAATATTTTCTTTGTCCCACACTCGTAACAAGACAGAAAAAACATATTCTCTATCATTTGAAAGTTTCCAAAAAAATCCTCTTTTTCCTTTTGTTCTTTAAAACTTACCACCAGGGAAAGAATTTCTATGTTCAAGTAACCAGTTTGTCAGACTGTGCACAAGAAAAGTTGTATGACTGAGAGATTTGTCATCAATCTAGAGAACAAGGGACAAACAAGTGCAAATAAACATGATAGTTTTTGGCAGTCAATAAATGTTCCAGTACCGTACTACAAAAATGGCAAGTTGTCTCATTAATGTCATGGGAGTTACATCCTGCATATTTACACTGATAAATAGCTAGGGATATTAAAAGCATCTGGAATAGGATCCTTTAACCAAGCTAAGTTTTGATTTTAAAGGGTTAAAATAATCCTTACAATTAGATCCTTGAAAAACAAATTTTGACTTCTCTATTTTCTTCCCAGGTTTATTGGAAAGGTCAATAATTGTCAGAGTAACAAGACACCTGGAGGTGTTAATGTGGAATGCAATAGTGGTTATCTACAGTCACTCTGATTTTATGTGGAAAATAATAAATTTAATGCTAAATTCAAAGTACAGGAAAAAAAATAACCATGACTAAAAGAGTCAACAAAACAGAATATTATGTGCGATCACCCAACCAGGTGGTAACCCAGCCAACAGAGGTTTAGTGATAAGCACTAACATGAGGCTAACAAGCATATGGCTAATTCCATATTTGACTATGAGGGCTCTCAAGCACATTTTTCATGTGGTCTGCCACAGACATTCCACATAATGAGAACAAGTGATCAGCATATAGTACTTTAAGAAAGAGGTCACAAAATATCTGAAATGCATGTATATGAAGGATAAAAAATGGATAAAAAATGGATGAAATGCTTTTCATAGTACTCTTAACTGTCTTGGTTCATTTTAATTTTCAGTTTGATGATTTTGTGACATTTTTCTTTGGTCCCAATTTTGTCATGAATATTTATTAGTCATGATCAAGATCCATAACCATATTCTTTTCAAAACTACAGCATTGAAAAGTAAAGGCAAGTTTGTTTCGCTTTCAAAAAACAATAGGAAGCACTCATATGCATCATGTGTTAAAAAGTGTTTATTATGGATGGAAAGACAGAACAATGTTGACGCTATTCAGATTATGCAGCTTTGAAGAATGATGGAACTCTCTATGCGCATGCCATGTTCTTCTTTAAGACAAACTGACCTACTTCAACATTTTAGGCCAATGTAAAAACACTTTTCAGTGATTTTAATTGTTAATACACATGTGTAGAGGTATCCACAAGAGACTGTGAAGATGTAGACCATACTTTTTCAAAACGATTTGTAAATGTTTTGTTTCACAATTAAATGTGGCTTTCTTAATTTAATCAGTTTTTGTTCCTCATCAATATTCATATTCTCGATTATCTGGTCCCTCAATTATTCTGACTATTTTGTCTAGTCCCAACAAATCCAGATAATCAAGGTTCGACTGAAACAGAACAACGATCCAATAGTTAAAGTAGGGTAACTAGATAAAATGGTCTGACTGGTTACAGTGATCCAGTTAGTTAAAATTCTCAAACTAGATAAAATGGTCCAACTGCTTTAAATGGTCCAACTTATAAACTGGTCAGACTGGTAGAAATAATCTAACAAAACAAAATGGTTCAACTGGTTCAGAAAGTCCAATTGCTTTAAATGATCTTTCTAGATAATTTGGCCAACTGCCTGAAATTGTTCAACCAGTCATTGTAGTCCAACTGGTTCAAAGGGATCCAACTAACATAGATGGACTAACTAGATAAAATGGACTAACCATATAACACTCCAACCAGTGTAAATAATTAAAATACTGACATTAAATGGTCCAAAAGGTTGTAAGTAAATGTGGAAATGGGCTGATTGGCAGAAATGGCCTAACTTCAAATAGGTGACAAAATTGTAGACAAATTGACCTTTTCAACCCCCTATTACTTTACTTTTATCTCTTTTGCCCTTTTTAAGTGTGTGTCAACTAATTTGGATGCTGATTGTAGATAAAAGGTCCAGCTTGTAATACATGGGGTAACTATATAAAATGATCCAACTAGTAGTAAATGGTCTAACTAGAGAAAATAATCCAACTGATAGAAATGGCCTCGCTAGAGAAAATGGTTCAGCAGCATAAAATGATTGAATCAATTAAAATGATCTAATTAGATAAAATGATCCAATCACCGAAAACAGTTGGACTGCGTAAAATGGTCTAACTATGATCTGTCTCGATAAAATGGTCTAATCACTTAGAATGGTCCAACTGGTCAATGGTCTAACCACACAAAATGATCCAACTATCATGGCAAGACTATCTGACTTAATAGTAACATAACTTTTTCTACTACTGATATGAAAATAATAACTAGTTTCAGGTAAAAAAGAGGGGAAAATGGAAGGACTTCATACCTACAGTATTATGAGTGTACATAAGACTGACATAAAAACATGCCACTGAAACTACTAAGAAGAAGACTGTTCTTGTAAATAAACTCAGTGTCAATTGTTTGGACTTTGATAGTCCAAATCTTTAGGATACAGGTATGTTGTAACTAATTTTTATGAGACAGATCACATATTTTCCTACTGACCAGTTGAGATAAACCTCTCCCCTTTAGAGGAGCGGAAAAGAAATGTACTTTTCTCAAAGAATCTACTGCAACCAATTACTCAATTGCCAAAAATGTATAAGATATTTTCATAAAGGTTATGTTCCTTATCATAACCAATTGATTCTAAACTGACCTGATAGCAGGGAACAAGAGATGTCAATAAATCAATAATATCCCCAACAAGAACTTTTCTCTCAGTAACTTCTTCATGGCTGTGATCAGTTTCTTAATATAACAAAACAAAGTACATATCTTAGTGATATATATCTTAGTACATAAAAAGAAATTGAGCTTGTTCCAATCTATCAAGTGAACTCAAGAGGATTGCATAATACATGCCGCTACACTTGATGGAAACTTTCAGCTGAAGTTAAACTGCATGCATCATGTTATGGATGCACAGCTATGCACACATAAGGATTTTTACCGTAGTACCTTCTTAGGAAAGAGGTAGAACTTACACCAGGATGATGTCATAAATGAATGCATGCTGAATGTATAAAGATATGAATATATGCTAGAACAAAATGGACTGCTACAATTCTCTAACAAGTCACTAAAATTTAGACATACCAGTACATTGAAGTAAAGCACTGGCTGTCTGCAAGAGGGTTGTTAAAAGTTGCTGCCTAGTAAACCAATTAACTGTGACATTTGGATCCAAAAGAACAAACTTAAAAAATGATTCCAGCATCCGTAGAATAAATCGAGGATCACAATTGAGATATCTGTTAAAAAAAAATAAATACCCATAGGATAACAAAAATGGTATGTTCCCCAGGACACAACACAGTTGCATAATCTGTGTTAACCCTTCTAGCATATTAAGCCCAAAGATTTTTATAATTACTTAAAAATTCATCTAAACTTAACCCACCCATGTATTGGTTTCAACCATTTTACACTCCATATTTTAAAAAATATGCATAGCCTACTATCTCTTGAAAAAATAAAAAAAAAACTTATTCAATTTAGAGACAGACTTCTGCAAATTGCCCTAAAAACTTTTGTTAGAGCATATTTTAATAAGTTGGTTTTTGTAACCAGGTTTACTCCTGACAAAATTATAAGCAAACATGTTAGGTGAGTTAACATAATTTCAAACTTGTTTAAAGCTGAATGTGACACTGTAGGAGAGGCAAGTTTTAACATCTGACTAATGGAACTGAGTGATCTCATTGCTAAAACACAATAATTGAAAATTGAATTAATATTATGCATAGTTCAAAACATAAAAGATTTGCCACAACATCAGGAAAATTGGTTGGGGGATTTAAGTATGGCTGTACCTTTTGATACTGTTTACAAGTAAAACACTGACTTCTTGGATCAGGATTGTTGCACTTTCAGGACAACTTATCACTAGTGTAATGAATGGGTGGGGAGAGGCCCTGATAAGACAGAAATAAACAGTCAGGTAAATGAAGAAACACTCCATAAATCACATGTATATAATTACCGTAAACAACATGCAATATTTAGGTATCATAAGATTGCAGTGTATTGTCAGTGACAATTGTTGTGCTTTCATTTTGCTAGTTATAAGAATTTTTTTGTGATAAGAGTGTCAATGAAATAAACTTTTGATGAAAAAACTTTAAATAAAATGAGTTTAATGCCATTTGTACAACACTGACCTTAAAGAAAAGGGGCATATATATTCCATACCAGCTGTAGTACACTTATAAACTTGAAAGGTCAGCAAACAACTCAAGGCTTTTGATATACCACTCAGATTTCTGTGTATTATAAATAAAGACACCTATAGGTGAAGATCACAGCTTGTAAGGTTACTGGCTTGTGTAATGTAGCTAAACAAATACAGGTTAGCTTCAACCCAAAATGTTAATGCATCTTTGATTATGGTTGGCTCCTCTACAGAGGACCAGTCACCCTCTTAGAAAAAGCCACTCAACCCCTTTGACTCAAAAACAGTTTGCAAGGATATAATCACAATTAAGAGCTAGCATCTGGAGAATATTTGATTTATCTTGGCTGCCTAAGACAGATCATCACCTTGCCCTGTAGTTAACATTAAAGAGGTTTGGATGTAGGTGTTAAGACCCACCTTGCAGATGGAGCCACACTTAATAGTCCTCTTATGATATATTCAAATTCAGCATGGTCATCAACAACTAGCTGTACCAAGCAATTACAACACAATCTGCTTAAAACTTCTGAAGAATCTCCAGTCAACTCCCATAATAACTTGAGCTCAGGAATCTGAGGAAGAAAGCAAAGTGCTCAATGGTTGTGCTATGTTTAGTATGGTCAGTTTTTATTGTTCCTTTCATGTATCTTCAGTTCAAACACGTCCTGGGAATTAACTTTGTTGGTCCTGGCTCCTTAATGGCATATACAGTTCCAAAACTTATATAGCGCTTGCATTTGCAGTCTTCAAATAAATTAGTGATCTTGAGTTTGAACTTGCAATTTTCTTGATTCTATTTGAAACTCCACTGAATGAGTGGGTTACTGAGCCATTTATATCACCATGTACATGTACAGCACTTACTCACCTCTACCGAATTGGCATTTATGACAGATCCAGGTGGTTTTGAAATCAAGATGCAATCATAAAGTTTCCATACTTCCTGTACAAACCAATTGTTTAAAAAAAAGGGTCAAGCTGATGAACATGCAGATTGAAAATTATGCAACTCCCCACTAAAATCAGGATATTTGACTGTAGAACTACTGACCCCAAGAATTAAACCAAGAAATTTGTTCTTTTAGTTAGTAAATCAGGTTTTGCCTTGTGAGAGTTTTTATAAATTAGACATTCCAATTTAATGAAGTTCTTCCAGGTTAACAAACACCACAGAGACTGGACTTTCATGATCATGTACGCACTTTTTTTCTGAGGTGCGACTTGCAGAACCTTGAGTTTACACCAATTAAGTGGCAAAACATCTCTAACTCCTGTGGGCCTGATTTCTAAATTCCCAGGACAAATTTCTGATTTCATTCCGGTGGTGAATGAACATCATCATCCGATGGTGAGGGCGACATACAATTCCTTAATGATCAAAACCTCTCATTTTAAGATAGAGCCGCCATCCCACTAAAAAAAATGGTTTGTTTTTCTCTCTTCCATTTTCCTTTAAGCTCTCCCTGTTAATCGTATCCCCCCCTTAACAATTTCTTCGAGGATAGCCGAGCAACTCCCTGAGTGCCTTGGGTAGGAAAGGGAACCAGGAGCTTATAGCATAGGACTCAGGAGCTTAGATAACAATTTTTTACTAAACGATCTTATTTATACGGCCATATGCTCATTTTTTCGTCCAGTTTTTAGAAAATATTTTTACACACCTGTGATTGATGTGAAGGATTTCTGAACGACAGTCGCTTTCGCTGTTCATCTGCCATCTTAGTTGTACCCGAGCTGTCGGGTCAGTGGTTCCTCGCCTGACAATATTTTGCTTTGTGTAACCTGACACATTTTATTCAAGCATCGAAATAAACAATCCGCCATAGTTGATTTCGTTAGCGTCATTTTCGTAGTGCAGAGTAATGCCTCGCCAAAGAAAGGTTCCTGCAAGGTTTAGAGGTAAGAGATACATTTCCTTGCAATGAAGTTATCTTCTTGTAGACTTTCTATATACATACATTTTATTTAGGGGTTTTAGTTTTAAACTCAGCCATAAGAAAGCCTAAACTAAAGTCAAAAGGTTCAATTCCTCTTCTTACTTCTTTGTCCATGTTTAAGCGTTCATGGAGTAAACTTAAAAATTTAGGGAAACTTCTTCCTCGCAGATGGTGCTAATCCCGATGAAATAGAGGCTGAAGGAGAAAGCAGTGGATCTAACCCAGAGAGTCCTCAAAAGAAACAGGGAAAGGAGAGCTCTGGCCCATCAGATTTAGTTAGCCCTGTTACATCAATGCAACACTTTGGTGTACCTCCCGCCTTTATCACAGAATCAAATACACATCCTACAGAGGTATTGTTTGTCTATAAATTCAATATGAATACACTTGTTATGTTAGTCTGGAATTGGTTACTCGTAGTATGAGCTTAAATTTTGTTACTTAAACAAGCAATTTAGAGCATTTGGGGTGAAGAATATATAAGTTCTAGCATTATATGACAAACCATACGAGCAGACAATATTAACTGAATTCTAGTCGGCTACCATAGGGTTGAGATTAAGAGAAAAAGGGGTAGGGGTCAGCTAAATAGTTCAGTGTTTGCTGAGTTTTGTTTTTGTTTGTTTTTCCTTTTTTATTTGTTTTTGTTAAGTTTTGTTTTTTTATTTAATTAGGAGAAAAAAATAAGTTGTCTGGCATCAAATTAGGTTTTTACTGTATTCTTACAACAATTCATTACCTCCTTAGACCACTTTGGAAATAAACAGACCGAGCCATGAAATTGATCCAGTGTATCCATGTGGCATTTGTAAAAGGGAAGTAAATGATAACGATGACGCCATATTCTGTGAGACAGGCTGCGCACAATGGTATCATCGTGTCTGCACAGGCTTGACTGAACTAGCTTATGACTTGCTAACTGCTGAGGAGAATGCAGAGTGGGTCTGTGACAACTGTATTGCAACCAAAAGTGTTCCATTGGTTAAGTTGAAGAGTTAACTATCATGTCCTGTTCATTACCAATATAGTTGATATATTAAGTTTAAGCAAACATGAATTTTGTAGCATTTATGAATCAATTTTCATGTTTACTTGTTTGAAAATTAACATACTAGTTAAAAGATATGTAATTTTATGAGACCTTTTGGGCTTCATGGATAAAAAAGAGAGATGTTTTCAGTTGGTAGGTGTTCAATAACATCTTTGGAACACAAGTTCTTTGAGAAACATTCATGTTAAGCATGTGTTATTTCTCTTACACAATAACAATCCTGATGATATGCCTGAAAAAAATAAGCATGTAAGATTTGTTCTACACTGGTTTTCAGAAACAGCTTTCCTTTTTGTCTTTGTTGGAAATAAATTTCCAAAAATGTGTTGGAAACCTCTTGGGTAGTAGTATTTCTCCAAAGAAATGATAGACTGTGCAGTTGAGGAAAATTAAACCCTAATGATGTTATTCAAGGTGGTTTTGTATGGTATTTGTACAAATTTAACTACAGATGAAGAAAATTAGCACTTCTCCGTGAATTTTTTCCCAAGATATTATTGATAGTCTATGAAATTACTTGAATTTCTCTATTTGTGTACAAGGAACAAGAGGTGTCTATGAGTAGCATAATACTCTGCATCTTATTGGTCAATATGTATTTCTTCAAAAGGTTGTAGAGTGAAATAGGGGATTTCTATAAGGCTTTTATTAGAAGTTGAGCCTTTAACTTAAAGAGAATTCAATCTCACCACAAACCATAAGGAAAAATTTTAGGTTTGGTTAGACTAAATACTGTATTAGTCACTCGTGTTCCCAAGTCATAAGTGCTCAAGTTCATGCAGCTCCATTTAAAACTTACAATTTTTCTTCAATTTATGTGGTCAATTGAATTGACTCTTCCTTATGATTTTTTGGCCATGCCAAAGATATAGACAGTCTTAACATGATTACAATTATTACTAATATCTAATGTAAACTGGGAAATTTAAAAGTTGCAAATAAGTGAAAAAAGTATGTACCTAATATGCATGCATTACCCTGCCCACATACAGATAGTCTAACTTGTCATCATGTATGTGTGTAAATTTTGTATATAAATGCTTTAGAATGAAAACAGTGAACGACACCTAGTTAACTCAACTTCACTTACAATGAGTGAACAACCATGTATTTGACTTTTATTTCATCAGTACTTTTCAGTCCATTAACAATATACACCAATTTACAATAAAGTTATCATAGAAAAAAGCAAAATGAAAAAGGGAAAAAGCCAAGTAGGAATTAGTTAGGGTATTAAATTATGTTGTGGCAATATTGGCACCAAGGGAATTTTCACACAATTTCTACTGAAAGGATCCTTTAAACTTCTTGAGAATGTAAGATATTTGTGCAGAAAAGTTGAGTGGTTCTTAAATCTTTGTTGGTGTTTTGGTGAATGAAATAACTTAAACTAGAGGATACTGAAATACCACTGTGTTCTTGACATTTATCTTGGCATGATATTTAGGAATATTGACCAGACTCCCACAAATGATCTTATTCATACCAATTTTCTGAGCTTGTGTACTCCAGAAAATGGCAAATTAAACTCGAGTGTTGAAAACACAGTAGTTTTGTAGTATGCTCATGTTTTCATATTTTGTCAACTGGTAAAACAACAAAAATTTGAAAGCACTTGACATTTCTTAACCAATAGCTAATACTCTCAAGGAGCATGTAAGAATTGTTAATGGAGTTTGTGAAAATTTCCCAGCTTCCAGGCATAAAGCCTTAAATTTAGATGCCAATGAATTCCCTAGTTGTCCTTTCTTTTTTATCTTTATTTTTGTATTGCAATCAACATATCAAGTTTTATCTTTCTGTAATTCAAGCCACCTTAACCTATTTAGAAATGAAAAAAATGAAAAAGAGGTTCAGAAATTCATTTGAATTTATTGCACCAAATTTAAAATAATCAGGAAAAATTGCGATCAATCGAGTAATTGGTGTTAAAAAAATAAGTAAACTATTTTTAGAAACCTTAACACAGGTTTTCTCGGTTACAAAGGCGTGCAATTTTAGAATCCACCTACGGCATCAGGTTTTCCTCAAACTTGGGTTCAAGACAAATTTTGGAAGACAATACTCTCTAAATAGAATTTTTAACTTTAGCTCAGCAATTGCTGAGTTTTGATCGACCCACATAACATGGCACTCATGCAAAGGAATATCTACCTTAGCCTTTAAACAAGAACAAACAACATGTTTTCTTCTTATTGTGTTTGATAGATTTTGTGATATATGTATCGTTAATGAAGCTATTCAGTTATTGTCGTGTTTTTTATGTGGACAAGCTAGCGGTATGCGCCATTGTGGCTCTCTGCTGATGTCTATCGTGCACTTAGGAAGTGATTGCTGATTATAGATTCTGGAATACGCAAAATTGAATTGTGCACTAAATATGATCAACACTTTCACCGCATAGTAATGAGGAAAATACCGGTGATGGCACAGTAAACATTACAGAGGATGTAAGGACTCACACAAGTGGTTATTTCCAAGATAATAAGCAACATTGAGAATCAAGTGATTACCAAGATACCAGTTACCTGTATTAAGCATGACCCTGAAGTTTATTCAAGTGAGTACTTTCAATAAACAAGATAATCTGGAGATCATAATCAATTTTTTTTCTTTTTAGTTTACTTACTTAAATATTATTATATACCAACCAGTGTGGCTTTACTAGCCGATAGCATTGTGAAGTCCTGAAGCACAAGGGAATCTGGAAGCTTGAAGCCTAGCCTATCTCTCGTTATGAACAATGCATATTAAAATAATAAGGCTTTTGCTACTGTAGCTAAAAATGAATGACAGCTAAACATCTACAGAGACGTGAAAGCCATAAACAGTGCGCATCTAACGAACCTTTAAACAATAACCAAGAACAAAGAGTTCAAAGCTGAGGACATTCAAGTGAAAGTGAAATAAACGAGCTGCTTTCAAATCATTATGGAGAAGGTCGCTCCCAAAATCCAGAGTCACATGTATCCATAGCTAGCTTAAGAATTGTTCGTTAAAGTTAGTGAAGACACTATGGAGAGTTGTGAAGCACCACAAAACTTTAATAAAAGAACCCGTCGAACAATCAACAATGAAAATCACGGCTGTCACTAAGGAGTCGTATTTTCATTTTGCTAGATCAATAGGAAATAAGCAATGTGATATTATTTCTTTCTGATGCAAATCAGCCATATCATTGTTTGTTCTAATAGACATGGGAGTAGCCTATTTTAGTTTTGAAACACTTTAGTTGGTTTGTTTACCGTAGTTGATGCAAAGGTGTTCTTTAGATATGATTCGTTAAGCCAGCTGTGTGCCAAGCTGTCTGAATCCTCAACAAATATTTAGAAAAGCTCTGTTGCCGCTTGTAAATGTCTCTCCAATCTTTACTTGGCGCTCTGCAAACAGTATTAACGACTAAAAGCCTAGCTACGTGAACCAACTGTGCCCTCGCGTGTCGTTCTAAGCCAATTGTCAACTAAACACTGCACCGACAAATGCATATGCAAAAGTAAAGGGTAGGAGCAGGTTTCACAGCGTTAAAAATGAAGAAGTCGTATTTGCTACTTGTCCTGTTTGTCCACGTTCTACTAACCACTCATAAAGTCGACTCACATAGACGTAGGATAAGCCACAAAACCACAAAACCCCCAACACGAAAACGAACCACTCGAAAGCCGACAACATCTCCGCGAAAACATTGTCATGCCATGAAACACTGCAAGGTAACTCAGTGGAACACATGGAGTTCATGTTCAGTAGCTTGCGGAACAAGAGGAGTGCAGACACGCATTAGAAAGGTAGGCTATTTTTCAACTCTTTTTGCGGGTGCCTCTAGCAGATCTGTACTGAACCGAACAATCAATTTCAGCACCTGGTGAGTGAAAAGAATGTAAAAGCGACCAAGGAATGAACGACTAAATAAACCAATTTGTGAGCGAAGTAATAGGGGTATGAAAACTGTCACAGAAATGAGAAGGATTGAGCCAGGATTGCATAAGGTCAGGGTATCAATAGCAGTAGGCAAATCACATACTTTTGCACTGTGCTTCAATAACAGCAAGAATCTTGAATGTTTTTTCGGTGAAACAACTAAATGAATACCATTCAGACTCAATTTCGAAACCCAAAATACTTTATGTGAAGTTGCTTTTAATGTGTTTTTCACCATCAGGTTGTTAAGCGTCCGGTGTGCGGGGGCGTTTGCCCATTTGATTTGAAGCAGTCTCGGGGCTGTAATCATTATTGTCACAATGGAGGTACTCTAGAAAAAGCAACATGCATATGTCTGCCCCGTTACGGTGGACAGTGCTGCCAACAAGGTTTGTGTGTGAGGCAATTTTTTTTTTACAAACGCAGTCACTCCAATTTAGTTTTTTTTGTATGAAAAAAAAAAAATGGCAATGACTGGAAAGTATTAAACTGTTCTTTTTTTAAGTGAATGGGGGCTGGACAATGGGGAGACTGGGACCAATGCAGTGCTACTTGCGGAAATGGAACACAAAAGCGTCATGGACTGCTATAGTGAAGCGATATTGGCGGCGGAGGGAAAATGATGGAGGTTTGGGTTGGGTCATGTTCATTACGCCATCCCACCCAAACGTCCCTCGTTTTTTCATTCCTCTGCCTAACTATCCTCCGCGCCACTCTCTCTGATTACTATCGCTCTTCGTTTTACCAACCGAACACCTGGAACAGAATAAACATTTTTGCAATACATCCGTATGTCTCAGAAAGTTTGGACTTCCTACTTGACACTCTGCAATAGTATTGTGCCAAGAGAGACAACTAACTAATTCAGTAATGTTGAACTGGATCCAAGATCCATCACGGGCAAACACCCCATCCGTACAAGGGTGTATCAATATATAATTATACCTTTAGAAAGGTGACCAAAGGAGTAAAAAGGGAAATTTTAAACGCCGGAATTACATCTTTGCCACTATTCTGTGCTAACTATTAGTTGTAATTATCGCATTTTCATGTTGCAAAAGTTCACGGAGGATGGAGCTGCTGGGGAGTATGGGATGACTGTTCCAAGACCTGTGGTGGAGGCAAACAAACACGTCACAGGACTTGTAACAACCCCCTCCCTGCTAGCGGGGGACGTCCATGTCTGAAGAACGGTAGCAGTCAAACCAAAAAATGCAACGTCATACCTTGTCCAGGTAATAGGCTTCCCTACCAGTGACCACTAATTTTTTCGTCGGGTATTGTCCCGCACTGTGTAATGAAAACTGATGGTGTGAACTACCGGATGTCTCGTACTCTTTCTTAGCCATGCTCTTAGGTTATATGGGCGGACAATTTAAACTCGGCTAGAAATTACTTGTATATGATGGCTGGGCGTCCTGGGGTGATTGGGGCAAATGCAGCGTGACTTGTGATGGTGGAACACAAACGAGCTCTCGATCGTGCAGCAATCCACCCGTGGCTTATGGTGGTAAAACTTAAGTAGGCCAAAAGGAAATGATTCAGAACGAAGATAATGTTTTTTGTCGAGGCAAACGTTTCTTAAAAAGCATAAAGATCAACTTATATTTTTTTAGTAGTGGAAATTAGTCTACCAGAGTATGTCCCAGCAAAACGCTACTTAAATGTTTTCAATTCGGTATGAAATGATAATGTCAAAGCCTAATTCCAAATGACTCAATCCCAATATGATTCAATAGTTCTCAAACACCTTAGGACGTCATCATTTTTTTACTTCTTCAAACTCTTCCAAATGCATATCCGGCAGTTGCAGTTGTCTTGAATAATCTTTGTTTAGTTCCCTATTAAATTAAGGTTTAATGAGTGATAAGGAAAACTTCAACTGATTGTGTCCTCCGCTATTTTAGACGAAAGGCAACTTACATGGAAGGTAACGTATGAAGCAATTTTTAACCTTAGCTCTGCTTAACATGTATTCCCAACTCTAGTAAATGGTGGCTGGACGTCATGGGGTTATTGGAACAAATGCAGCGTGACTTGTGGTGGTGGTACACAGAAGCGTTCTCGCTCATGCACAAATCCTCCCGCAGCCCATGGAGGAAAAACGTGTGCAGGTCTGAAGGACATGACTCAGAACTGCAATGATGATATTCTGTGTCCAGGTAAGAACTTCCTTGGCCACAAAACGTGACAAAACGTTTTGGAAATGTTGCTTTGTAAGTCGAGAATATTGGAAAAATGGCAATGACTGGAAAGTATTAAACTGTTCTTTTTTTAAGTGAATGGGGGCTGGACACCATGGGGAGACTGGGACCAATGCAGTGCTACTTGCGGAAATGGAACACAAAAGCGTTCACGCTCATGCACCAATCCACCTACAGCCCATGGGGGAAAAAGGTGTGCAGGTCCGAAGGAAAT